CTGCGCGAAAAGCCATTTGTGCGCACGGACACTAGTGTGAATGGAAACTTGCGAGAAAAAAGACAAGTGCGCAAACGATTTAAGGGATTACACGGGTTAAATGATTCTCATTACTTTTAACGGTTCATCGTCCATGTAATATGGAAATTATTAGAGGTACTACTACGTCGGCAACTAAGTTAAATGAATTCGGCTGAATTAAAAATTAAATTGAAGCTGATTCATGTAACAAGCTCAAGTGTTCTAATACGGCTACAGAAACAACACAGAAAAGTAAAAGTAGCCGTTATTGCTTGGGGATTATTCCCGTTGTCCCCACTAGTAAATACTAGACACTTCCACGATAGACTTAATTAATTTTTTTCTTCTCAATAGTGCTACTATGTTTATTCGGTGTAAGAGTATACTAGTGTCGAAGTGATTTAGACTTGACGTGTGAGGTATTAGTATTTTTTTTTTGCTTTGGCTGCTTCCTAAGCTTTATACTGCACTCCGTTATTGCTAACAAACATGAGCAAAAAATTATTTTCATACATTCACTTCAATAGGAGAAAGGGCTGAACCCACTTATTTAATAGACAACGGAGATGATCAATATTAGGAGAAAGGGCACAGGTGATGCAAGTTGGAAGCCGACAACAAACAGGCATATCGCGGCCGCAGCGACGCACCACACTGCCATGGGCGTCCATCTCACATCTTCATATTTTACCACAAAAACGTATATAAGCATCATCGAGATGTATATTAAAAATTTATTACTTACATACAAATAGTTTTTATCTTATGCTAAGCACTATTATAACAACTAAACTCGCTAAGTTACATTAGCTAACATAATATTTCACAAACTGCAAGTATACATTTATAAATTATCTTGTTTGGAGTTTAATCTGTATCTAATGATAGACAGTCAGCCTTAAAATGGGACAAGAATGCAAACATGTAATAAATACAATAAATACTTGACATGGTCCAAGGTCTGACATCTTGATAGATAGAAACTTAGTAATATTTTACATAAATTAAAATTCTTTGTAAATTTCATCACATCGTTTACAATTTACAGTTGTAACAGATCATTTAGAACAAAACCTCGGCTATTTCATTTCCTATCATCATTGTCCCGAAAACTTGATTCAATCACATAATTATTCTCACATAGACACTATACACTGGCACTTATCATTGAGTAGATTCGAATAATTTTTCACGAAAATATTTAATTTTTTGTGCAAAAAACGCTTCAAGACCGTCCGCACAACGATAGAATTCAGAGTCTTTAGGGTTAAAATATCGACAATTATCAAATATTTTAGTCATATCACCAATAAATTCACTTAACGTACTGTAAGTCTGTTCATTAACTTTTCTTTCCACTGTTTGTAAATCTGAAAAGAAAACAAATAAATGTACATGATTTTATTATGATAACTGGCATTAGTACTTAATATATCACCTTCCTGGCACAGGTATATTTTTACCTAAAAGGAAGTTTGGTCAATATTTTAATTATTGTAAACCTTTTTATATTATGAAACAAATTATTTATTATAATATATAAAAAAATCTTTAAATTTGTAATTATTTTGTACTTTAAATAACTACGAAGGTATAAAGAGCACACTCTATTTTGAATGCATTTATTATATTAGTGCATTTGATACAATTTCAGTAAAGAAAATAATAAACTTTAAATAATCTTATTTAAAAATTCTTACCCATAGGTTCCTTGATTACTTTATAATAAGTAGGCGCTTCTCTCGGGTCGACAGGCTCCATAAAAGGCCACGCATTTTTATGCAGCTGTATTTGTTTCACAAGCCTCTTTAGATTTTCAAAGTCTTTGGGTGTAAGTTCTTTCATATTTGCAAAATTAACTGAATTGTTTTTTTGACAATTAGGACAAATATATTCGTCAATATTGTCAGCCTCCGATTGTAAAATTCCAACGCATCGACCATGAAACCAGTCCTGACATCGGTCACAACAAATGTAAAACCTGAAATAAATAATGATGTGGTTGAAACAACTATAGATACTTTATCATCGCAATGTGAATCGAAGGTGCAGCTCATATTCCTAATATACTTACTGTGAATTATCGTACGGTTGCCGGCAGAGACAATACAATTCCTGTGTTTCTTCCGCTCTTCGGCAATCTGGACAAACGTATTCTTCCATAGTCTTACTCATTTCTTCTGTCACCCCGACACAATCACCATGGAACCAGTTGCTGCAATGCTCACAACCAACATAAAACCTAAAAGAAAAAGTACAATTATTTATAAGAGCATTGAAAGAGATAATCAGATTTCTCGCCAATATTAAAGTGAAAATCCTCTTTTCAAACCGCTAACTAATATCTACTTACTTGGTATTGTCATAAGGAGTACGGCAAATACAAAGTAGCTTCTCTTTCTTCAGAGACCGTTTGTTTGCTTTAGGAGTGGAGTCGCGTGCGCTACTGGACGCGGTGCGCCGCTTACCCGTGCGCACTTCTTCTTGTTTACTCCTCTCGGCTCGAGTTCGAAGAGCTAGTTCAGCCGATAACTCTTTCTGTAATAGAAGCAGACCAATATGTAATTGAAAAGCCTGCTAAGTATTAGTTAAAGTCGCGTGCAGAGTTCCCCATACACTTCTATATAATCTGATGTTTTACAAATGTAAATATCGTTTCAATTATAATTACATAGTATTAATATAAAAAATAATCTTGTAGATTTCAGCATTCCATTAATTGGTTTCAATGTGTCACATTTTCAGATATGAATGTGCTTTCATTTATTGTAATCGTCGTGGAAATATTGTGCTTGGTATTTTACTACTGTAAAAGTATTGAACTGTAGAAATCCAATAAATTGGCATGGCTGAAAATGGTTAGTTTACTAGTACATCTGTAACAAATTATAATACTACACTGGGATAAATTGCTTCTATCGCATTATACAAAATTTTTGTCATTCAGACTGTATATTACTATAGTTGAATCTCGATATTCAACAGATTACAACTGCAAAAATGTTGATTTCTGAAAACGTCTAATTGTATCTTCCACAAAAATTTTGCTGTAAACATTACAAAAATACATTGAGCTAAAAAATAAATTTATCTTATCGGTGTCATCGTTACAATTCAGTTACACTTCAGTCACTAGAACAATAATCAATCACACATAACAATATTGCGCAAAGCGAATACAACACTACCACTATACTAATAGGTGAAAATACTACCTGAATTTCAACACCAAGTTCTTTTTCGAGAAGTCCTCTTTTCTTAATGATATCTTTCTTGAGCATTTCTTTGTGTTTGAAGAGTAACATTTGTAATCTAGAGTGTGTGGAAACGGCACGACGGCGTTCCTCCTGCGCGGAGACGGGCGCGTGCGCGGGCGGCGGGCGCGGCGGCGGCGGCGGCGTGGGCGGGCGCGCGCGGCCTCGCTTGCGCGGGCTGCTGTCCACCCACTCGTCGTCGTCGTCGTTGCGGGAGGAGGTGGGGCGGCGGCGCGGCGGCGGCGACGGCGAGCGGGCCACGACGGCCACGGCCCGAGGCTCTCTCTCGACCTGTTCGGGTTTGTTGCGTTTCTCGTGGTATCGGAGCTGTTGCAGAAGCTTCTCTTCTATTTCAGGATTCAGATTGTCCTGTTTCAGTACGCTTTTGATGGCTGAAATTGAGAGAGATGAACGTGAACACGTGTATAAAAGTTAACGAATGAAAATAATTTGTTTTTTCATACGTACTTTGCTGTATGTAGTCAGGCGTGAGTACGAACTTGTTACTTTGAACTCCTTCCTGATTGGAATTCACGATATCGGTTTTGGTGTTATTTTCCTTAATATCTTCAGGTTTAGACGGGGTGGCCTCTTTATGACTAGCCGCTTCGGCGACATTTTCTTCACCGTTCAAAAGAGGCTGTCGTTTGCTTTGATCTTCATCACTAACGTCCTAAAATAGAAAAAGAGACACCCAATGTGTCAAAATAAATGTTCTGGATTATGTTCCGCATTTACTTACTATACCGATCCTTTATATGACGCTTATAATGTAATAATTAAATTCAATGAAAACTAAAAATAAGTCAAAATAAGAGTAAAAAAAAAACAAAAATGAAAATGAGAAGATAATCGTTTGTGGGAATATATCAGTATGTAGGTGGTGACATAACATATACGATATTCTTATGTACTGAATAATTATGTACGTAATTATTACATTATTTTGTCCTCATACTTATATTATTTAAGAGAAATAATTGCCCATACACCCCCACAAAACGTTTGTAAGAAAAATATGAAATGAAAATAAAATTACATAAATAAACAGGAATGGTGAAATAAAAGTCAATATTGATAATATTTTTTTATTCTAGTTTATATTGCACGATTCAATTATAAATTACGTGTTACGACGCTTTAGTTTGTTATAAACAGTTACACAGTTGTTAACAGGTGGTGTATGAGCAATTTATGTATCGGTAGTCAAAAAGTAAGTAAATTTGACCATTAAAACTATATTTTAAGCTAAATATCAAGTCTTTGTAAAAGCACCCATTTTACAAAATTGTACGAGTTTCTCGGTTCCTTCAAAAGTTCCTTAAAGAATACCTGAAATGAATAAGAGGTACCTTGTATTTTAAGTAAAAGTGTCAGCTATTATTTTTTCTTTAAATTTGCATTCGTTACATACCCTATGGCTAAATATTAAGTCAATATGTAAAATGGACGATTCTACAAATACCATAATGCTACACATAACATATTGAATTTAGTTACAGGCCAGTAAGGGTTAAATTCTAGTAACTTCCACGGCTTTGAATAAGGAAGACATATAGATTTTATTACTTGAATAGAAATAAATCATATAGATCACTTATTTACTCGAAACAGTGAAAGTTAAGTGACATCATTATTCAATTAGCTGAAAGTAATATACAAAATATATCACCATTTATAAGGAAAAAAACCACTTAAAGCATTAATTAAAAAATATTAGGAACTAAATAATTAACATATATTATGTCATATACAAAATGCGTGTATTATAGGCGCTATTTGATTGAAATGCTAATTATTTAAAACATTATAATGAATAAAATTATTTAAAGAAGCCTCTAGGTTTCACTTTAGAAAATAATCTTCCCAATATGTTATAGAAACATAGCCCGTGTGCCAATAGTTATGCTTATTTACTGTTACTTTTATTACTTACGTATTTAGTATAAATAAATAAACCAATATTGTAAGAAAGTCACATTAATACACACTATTATGTTCTAAATAATTTACACAAGTACTTAATCTTTGGTTTAATTTACATTATTTAAATATTTACCTAAATTAATTTTAATGACGTTATAGTTATTTTGCACTACAGGTGTATATTTGCAGTTTTGCGCAAATATTATTCTATTCCAATTTTTATAACTATCAGACCGAGTAATAATCCCTTTGTAAAGATAAATGAAAGGCTTTTTGTCTTTTTAAAATCTAATTTATGGATTTATTATCAAAGCTAGAATGGTAATGAATTTATTCACAAAATAATATTTTCACGAATTTAGGTTACCGTAAATAGTTTCATCTATGATAATAGAGTGATCTGTTTCGTAACTGAATTTCACCTATTTTGAAGTCAGTTAAAAACGGAGATATTATACAGCGTCGGTTTGACTAAAAGGAACGATCATGTAGAAGCGTATCATTTTACTTTAATCAAAAGGATTGAGAACAAACGATCATAAAATAAAGAGTACTTGCATACCTAGAAGGAATCTTGACATCTTTAAATTAGCTGGTAAATCATTGATTCTTACATAAAGTAATAACATAAATACTGCAGATTAGCCAGCTAATAGTTACTTTAGTTGTAAACACGATAGTGCGGGACCATAGGTCGAAAAAGCCCTTGGTTGGTTGTCACCCACCAGCGTTATGCTGAAATGGTGTTTATTACAGAAGCGTCTATAAGGCGCGGTTCGGTTCCCGGCACTATGGTGTGTAAAGTATTATGTACCTAATAGTTTGTAGAATATAGAGAATCCTTTATGGTCTCTATTCTACTAACGTGTACAATGAAGGGTACGTGACACCACTAGTCTTATTGACTATACTAGGAAAATATCTTTACTTTTATACTGAAATGATGAATAATCAATAATATTGGTAATATCACAATTTTGTGTTATAAAATAAAATACTATCGGTGTCTAGTACCCTCTAAATTCTACCTAGATATAAACTAACATTGCTATCTATGTGTAAATTCTTGTCCCTAAATATAAAGGAGAAATGACCTTTAATGTGCGTTTGTTGTGACGTAAAATCAAGTAACGTTCAACGCTCGCGCGCTAATTAGACGACTTAACACTGTAATATTATACTCGGAAATAAGTGTAAAAATATAGCAGTCTTTAATTCATTACATAAGTAATGTTTTTGTCGATCAGGCTTTTCAGTTTATTATTTACGGAAGGCACACTGATTTGTGTTCCACGTTATGCGTTATCGTAAATGAAATTCAACTGTATGGAGCAATTTCGCAAATAACATTTTTTTATTTTACAAAAATCATTTCCCCTTTCCGATCTATATATCGATAAAGTAAATAATAGGACATTAGGAAAGACATTTTACAATCTGAGATAATTATAATATTATATGGAAAGTGGGTCGGCAAGCTAGTAGTAATATATTACCTGCTGGGGCACCGGCATGGGCTGCAGCGGCTGCGGCGCGACGGGCGCGAGCAGCGGCGGCGCGGCGGGCGCGGGCTGGACCGCCAAATACATTTTCCTGGGGCCCAGCATTCCTTGCTTGCCGGTCGATTCTTGTGCTGCAAGACATCGTTATACGTCCATACATCTTTCGCTCCAAAATCAACAGTAAATGTAAGTTACACGTTGTTTACTGAAGATAGCTTTTGCCCGCGGCTTCACCCTCGTGAAATTTCGTTTGTCACAGATCGTCATAAATTATAGCCTATATGTTATTCTGGGTTATAAACAATAATACTGTGAAGTCTCATCAAAATCCGTTCAGTAGTTTTTGCGTGAAAGAGTAACAAACATCCAGACATCCACACAAACTTTCGCATTTATAATATTAGTAGGATGACATGGAAATCGTTTCCAATACAATAGGTAGCTGAAAGTTAGTCATATTGCAGCATGTGTGGTTAGAGCAACCTGTATTCAGGGTTCGAAAGGATAAAGATAATTATCGTGATAATAACAAGTGGATAATAATTATCGGTTGATAATAACAAAAAAATGCGCTCGTGAAAATGAACTGTATTCGAAGTTAATCAACATAGATAGTTATAAAACCTATCTATTTAGCTCCACAATGATCACTAGTTACCTAGCGTCAAAATATTTCGCTCACCTAGCAGTATAATGACACATCTACTTTTTTCTTGTTTTACAGAAATGAGGGTCAAAGATTTTACAAATGTTTGAAACGAAGTTATGAGTTCATTTTACATTTTATCATGGATTTTATGGTTTTAGCAACTAGTATAGACCTTAATAGATACTTAGGGATAAAAAAATCCACTTCAGGTTTCCAGGAGTTACTTCATAGCAGTCAAAGAAGAAGAAGAACCATGCAATTGTGCCGTTATACTTTTTGACAACTTCCAAAAATGTCATATATGCCCCAAAGCCATAATTAAACAGGATGTGAAAACTAGAAATAAAGACAGGTTGATAGAAAACAAAAGTTTTTATTTGAAATCAACATACAATAAAAAGTTTAACTAAAATATTATAATTATATAACCATCAGGAATGGCTCTTTCCATACCAGGTAACCGACCACGCTGGGAGAGAGGCACGTAAACTCGCTCTGACGCTGGATCTCTCCCAATTGATAGACTGTGCAACCAGGGTCCCGGACGTCGACACTCACACAGCCAACTGCCTTGACTTTCTGCTGACATCTGGTCCAGACAGATATTCCATCCTGGTTACTGCTCCTCTTGGAACTTCTGACCACTGCCTGGTGAAAACTGTATCGACATACTCCCCATCTGATCGTGGCCCTTGTCGAGTAAGACGAGTATGGCGATACAAGTCGGCAGATTGGGACGAGATGCGTCAGTTTTTCGCATCTTTCCCTTGGAGGCCGGCATGCTTTTCTTCTCGAGACCTAACGAGTTGGGCCGATGCCATAACAGAAGTTATACGCCTGGGTATGGAATTCTTCATTCCTTACTCAGACGTCGCCTCAGGTAGCAAAGCTCGCCCTTGGTTCGATGCTGATTGCCGTCATGCTGAAGCGTGTAAGCAGTCAGCGTTTCTGGCAAGGGCTGATGCTCGAACGCGCGACTCACCGGACACTCGCAATCTGAAGAAAGCCTAACGCTTAAATTTGGCCCTTCAGGATGTCTCTGATTGGGGCGATGCCAACCTGGTCCAATTTAACGCGTCAAAAACACAGGCGTGTCTGTTCTCCGCAAAACGAAGTCCATTTCTTATGGCTCCAACATTCCGAGGTGTGCCTGTCAAAATCACCGAGCGACTGCAACTCTTGGGTATTGAAATGTCCAGCAAGCTGAACTTTGGCGAGTACATCGAATCCATAGCGAAAACTGCTGCCAAAAAACTTGGTATCCTCTCGAGGGCAAGGCAGTACTTCTCCAAGAAGCAAAGGCTGCAGCTTTATAAAGCACAGATCCGACCTTGCATGGAATACTGCTGCCACCTCTGGGACGGCTCTGCCAAGAAACATTTGGCTGCTTTGGATTCGGTGGAAAGGCGTGCCAGAAGACTTATCGACAGCCTTGTTGAAGCGGCGCTCCAGGAACTTGACCATCGCCGTAAGGAAGCATCCCTATCGGTTTTCTACAGGCTACACTTCGGAGAATGTGCGAAAGAATTACACGAATTAATTCCACCAGCCTTCTTCTAGGGAACCAGACGCAGGTGTACCATCCCTATATTGTTGACATTCCACCAGCGCGCACTAAGCGTTTCGATGACTCTTTTATAATGCGAACAGCTAGGGACTGGAATTCGTTGCCTGCTGCTGTCTTTCCCGAAAACTATAATCCGGGCCTCTTCAAGGCGAGAGTGAATAAGCACTTACAGGGCAGATATGTACCATCCTAGACTGCATCCCACTTAACATCAGGTGCGATTGTGGTCAAATATAACAATCAAACTATAGCAAATAAAATAAAGTTTAATCATGACGTATCTTCTCTTGTCAAATGTACCGTTTTTCTACTAACTTACTAAGTTAATAAAATGTCACATTTGCCACTTATGCCAACACAGATTTAGAAGCGATTGCACCTCGCGGAGCGCCCCGCACAACTGAAAAATAAGCCGTTGTTATGCGCGGAAGCGGGGGGAACGTAGCAAGTGGTACAATGACACTAAACACCCTCTCTCGACAAATAGTAAAACTAACACCGTGCCGTTTTACCACTTTATAAATTATACACTCTTAAACACTTAGGCCGTAAAAACTCAATTTCCCTTTTTTTGTAAATGTGCCATTATACTGCTAGGTGAGCGATTTATCTATTTTCCAACCTTTATGCGACTAGCGATGGATAACTTGACAACGATCTGCAGCTAAAAACATAAAGTAACATTTCTTATTTAAAACAATATGACAAATGTGTCTTATAATGTTGATAATTATCTGATTATTATCATGAAGCGTCTGATCTTGATAATTTCGAACCCTGCCTGTATTAGATTTGATATTTTTGCAAGCAGTTATTGGCGGCGACTGTTTATGTGTAGCCTCAGCGCGTGCAATATCTGCTTTTTATCAACAAAGAGCAAAAATAACATTTTTTACCAACCTTTAAGAAGCTGTTGCTTTACTTGGTGTTGTACAAGTGCCAACTGTTGAGGCGTTAGAGAATACCCGTGCAGTCCTTGAAGGACGATACTGGGCCCGCTGCTGGTTTGCATTACCTGTTGAAAGTTTATCATCTTAACACTGATAAAAGTACACAAGCCTAACGTTATAATAAACAAAGATAATTAAGTTTTCCAATTACCTGAGCTGTGACAGTTTTAATGACAGTGCCAGGGGGTTGACCGACCAGAAGGCGTTTTTCAACGATTTCATCTTCGGTCAACTGCTGCTCCTGCTGCGGTTGAGGCTGTGGAGGCTGCGGAGGGGCGGGCGGCTCCGGCCTCGGCATCGCCACGGCGGGAGCGGCCGCGGCGGGCGCGCTCTGGCCGATGTGCGCGACGATCTGCGCCTGATTGTTGCCGGTCGGCCGAATCAACACCTGCTGCCCGTTGACGGTCGCCAGCTGAATCTTCCCGGCGGCGATCTGCTGCACGAGCGCCGGGTTGTTGACGACGATCTGCTGCGTGGAGGCGGCGCGGGGGCGCGGCGGCGGGCGCGGGGCGGCGCGCGGCGCGGGCGCGGCCTGGCGCTGCAGGATCTGGCCCTGCACCAGCACCGTCTGCAGCGCCGGCATGCGCGGCTGCAGCGCCGGCCGCGAGCCCGCCTGCACCACCACCTGCTGCGGCGACTGCACGACCACCTGCTGCGGCTGCTGCATCACCACCTGCGACGACGGCTGCACGACGATCTGACGGTTGCCCTGGAGTACGATCTGTTGCGCGGGCGGGGCCGTCACCCGGGGCGAGGCCGGTTTGCCGTCGTCGTTCGCGGCCTTGTTTTGACCTCGGTCGTCTTTCTCGTTGACGGACTCTATCGTTTTCGCGGCGGGCGACGCCGCCACCAGTTGACCGGTGATGCCCTGCTGACCGGCCATGACGACGTGCAGCCTCCCGTCGGCCATTTGAATGAGCTGCTGCCCCGCTAACAGGCCCCGGACGGTGATTTTTCCGTCGGGAGCCCGAATTATTTGAACTTTCTGCGGGCCGTCCTTCTGCGGAGCTCCGGGAGTTTTAGCCGCCGCGTTGTCAGCGCTGGACTTGTTGACCATCGGTTGCGTTATGACTCTCGTTGAACCGTCGGCCCCTTTGGTCATAATAATTCTTCGAGTTCCGATGACCGTTTTTTGGCCCGTGGGTGTGTTAGAATTGGTGGTCAACAGGGAGGTCAGCGTGCTCTTGCCTGAATTTTGATTAGGTGTGGCCGGTTTAGATTTATCTGTTGAAATAAAAAAGTAGATATTAAAATTCACGTCATCAAAGGAGTTCACAATTCATACGTCTTCTTTCCTTCGAAAGTTTCTAGTGGACGTGGTCAATTAAACGACCCCAAAATATACAGAACTCAGAATATCGCAGTTCCGTTAAAATTGATTGTGAATGTAATTACAATAAAGCAATTTTAGAAGTAAAAAATAAATGTAATACATTATGCAACTTTAGAAGTAAAAACAATAATAATATCGAGTGCACATCGAACCTTGCGCCACCTCCTGCGCGCGCTTCTGCTGGTGCGCGGCGCGCTGCTCGCGCAGCTGCTGCTCCATCTTGTCCTTGAGGTCGGCGGCGGCGCGCGCCGGCAGCTTGCCGGTGGACGTGCGCGTGACGGGCGTGGCGCGCTCCGTGCGCTCGCCGTACTGCCGCACCTCCCACAGCTCCAGCTTGTCCTCGTCCACCCATTCCTCCGACACCTGCCGATGAAGCGTGTCAGTGGACTTTGCCTGCCTAGCTCGCACTTAGTGTCATCATCATTATCAACAGCCCTTTACAGTCCACTGCTGGACTATGGGCCTCCTCCACTATAGTGCCTGCCGACTTCTGCCTATCGACTGAATAATTTAGTTCAGTGTTTTGGGGTCGCGACCCGACCGAAGCCTCTATAGGGGGATCGCGAGAGGTCGTAAAAACTACCTCAGTAAAAAATCATTAGATAGAAAGACAGATTTATCCGAAATCTAATTATGCAAATGCATTAAAATGTTTTATGGATTGAAGTATTCGTACCAATATTTTTTCATACTAGGGGGGTCGTGTCATGAAAAAGGTTGAAAAACACTGATTTAGTTTATAATTAATGAACTATTTCACTAAATCTGAAAATAACGATAAATATGAGTTCAGCTCACCTGTGGTTCTGTATTTTGAGGAGATTCTGCTCGTTTCCGTTTCCTCAATCCGCTTCGAATTGACGTGACTTCGCGTACCGTCTTGGGCAATTCCAGAGGTATAACTACACGCCTTCGCAAATATTGCGTTCTCTCAGAAAACTGACCAATATGACGATGTTTCAGCAGCTCCAAAGACACTATTTCAGTATCTGTAGTCAATTGATGTTTTCCGTCAGCGGTGGTTGGTTTAGCAGCCATATCGTCCCACCGTAAACATGCAAACATTATACGCAGTTGTAATGCGGCACTCGCTAGCCACTGCAGGTTTACGGTGCGGTACAGCCAGCAAGTTTTAAACAGAGGTCGCGCACAAGGATATGGCCAAACTGCTTGGTTCGGCTTGGCGTTATGACTGAAACCAGTTACGGCATTGTGTCCTGCTTGCCTACAAAGACGTTTTAGCTCATGATGCGGTAAAACCATAATAGTTTTCGCCTTACTACGTGTATGGAATGTGGAACAAAGTGGATACTTTACGGGAGTTCTCTTCTTTTTCTTTTCTACAGCAGATGTTTGAACTCTTTTAAGATACACTTTACCGCAAGGACTTTCTGTTGAATAAATTCGTACCAAGCCACTTTCTGTTTTTTCTTCTTTTATAGACTTGTCATCCCTTTTTGGCCTTAGAAGCCCAAATCGTCTATTGACAGTGGCACGATATTTGGCTTTATTCTCATTTTTAGCTGACGTCAGTGAACATTTATATGATGGATCCTTGGTTTCTCCAGTATTTGTAACATTAGCTGCATTATTTGAAGATTTGGAAGATCTTCCTCTTGTGATTTTCAATTTTGGTATTGGAGGTCGAGTTTTCTCAGACTCAATGTCAACAAGGGTGTTGTCGGATTGTTGATCTCCATCAGTTAATTCCTTCAATGGACCTATTTCAACTTCATTGTCTTCATTGTTACTGGATGTAATGTCTATGTCCATTTCATTTCCTACAGCTGGAACTGCAGATTCTTCCAATGTACTTTCAGATTTTAAAATGCCTAAAGACTCGTCATCTTTCTCTGCCTTCACTGTCACATCACACTCTCCACTCAATTTTCTTTTGACGAAACAGTCTGTGTTTTTATTATCACATTCCTGTGCACATGCCACCGCTGATAATAAGTCGGACAATATATTTTCCTCTGAATTGGTCGCGGATGTAGCACTTTTTCCTAGCAGACATTGTTCCAGTATTGACATTTTATTGTTCTCTTTAGTATTGATCAGTCCAGTCGAATTGGTAGTACCACTTTTGATTATGATCAAAAGTTCACTTAAAAGTTTTGTCTTTTTTATACATAAAGGTGAGTAACAATTTACTTTTATACCCGAGCTTTGCAGCAAGGCTGATGGATCCACTTTATTACAACTGGAAGAATAGCACTTGTAATGTTTAGTCAACAGTGCCAATTTTTGATATTGCTCTCTGAGTGCATCTACGGTCTTGGATGTAGCATCGCTAGGAGGCTTTTTATCATTACTAATGTCGCAGACCGAAGACATATCCGCATCAGGCTCATCATTTTCGACATCAATATTTTTGTCTTCTTCATTTTTGATATCTGAATCTTCTTTTTTTACTTTGGTCAACAAGTTAGAAATTTTCTTTTCTTCCATAAATTTCAAATATGTCCGTCGTGTAAGAAAATCATCCAGCTTCGATTTCCTAGCTATTTTAGGATAATATCTTCTTATTGAGGAACTCAACGCCTTTTCAACATCTATTTCTTCAAAGTCATCATCTTCTTTTTCAATAATTAAATTGCGCATAGATGGAGGCACTAAAAAGAATAAATTAATAAGTGACTTAGATAACTTAAAACTGACTTTTATTGATTTTAAGTAAAAATATAGGTCTGGGTGCATAACTTAATAATATTTTATTGACTACTTACGTTTTTCTGATACATCTTTTTCAGAGCTTTTATTATCAGAAATTAAATATTCATATGTGTTGGGCTCAACAGCTAACACTTTTATCACATTTCCTTCTCGAACTCTAACTGCTATTTTGGCAGGACCACTCATAAGGCTTAGTTTCACATTGGTATTTTGTTTTTTAAACTTCCTTGTGGTAGAATTCCACAACCACCCCCATTGCCCATGGATTCTGTATTCTTCACCCTTTTGTTTCCATGCCTGAAATGTTATAATGAAAATAAACAACAAAAAAAAATATGATAATAGTCACGATCTAAACAAACAAGAGACAAAAAAGTTAAGATAACCTTGTTGATTTTGTTAATAATTTACCTGATGGCGAAGTCCTAAGGAATATTTCACGAAATTATAAGCCGTTCTATATCTCTCTTCTTCTTCATCTCTTTCCTTCTTTTCTCTTTTATCTAGCTTTTTGCGTTCCTCGCGATCTGCAGCGGTCGTTCGGATGAGTCTTACATGACCCAGTTGTTCATGCCAAGCTGGGACCCACACTACACTTTTAATACATGCCTGAAAATTACCAAAATATTTTAAAGTTAATGTATTGTAAACCTTGATACATTATAGTACGAGAGCCCACGACCAAAATTTTTGTCTCATAGCAATACGGCCAAAACCGCATCAAATCGATAGATACGATTATCCTGAACTCGAAAATACCAATATCAGACATTTTCCGCGTAGCGTTTGATCTGGCCGAATTTTCAAAATTGTCAAAGAATTTTACCGAACTGCATCATAGCAATATGTCTGATTTGCAGACTGTAGTTGAATGATAGTTCTGAGATACCGGAAACATTATTTTCAGACGTTAGTGGTGTAGCGCAAACCCGTAAAATCACTTAAAAAAATTAAAAATGAGACAAAAAAAAAATTCTCTTAGCAATACGTCTGAAAATCTTTTTTATTAGTAAATTTTGGTTATTTGATGCGAACAAAACAATTTTCAGACGAAAATGTGAACACATTAAATTTTGAGACCGTTTTGAAAATGTTAACAAATTTTACCGATCGGTATCATAGCAATATGTCTGAAAATTGTTGGACATAATAAAATAAGTTGTCCACATGTGCAAAAAATTTATATCAGACAAATTAAGTGTAGCACCTTCTCTATCATACAACTTTTTGATACACTTAAAGTGTCTGAAAACAGGTTTTTGGTAATCATGGCAGCAATACGAAAAGTTAAAAAAAATAATTATCCGTATTGCTATGATACAGGTCGGCTAAAATTGTTGACATTTTCAAAAATGCGCACAGGCTATATGCTACGCGCAAAATGTCTGAAAACAAACTTTTTCGTAATACAATTATAAAATCTATGTACATTTTCACTATCAGACGTATTGCTATAATACCGACTGTCTTTTTTTTTTGACACAGCAGAAATGGCCTCCCACTCAGTTGCTACACTTTCGACCGTTACTACACACCTAGTCGGGTTCAGAATCATACAATCTAACGATTTTATAGGGTTTTTGCCGTATTGCTATGACACATGGTTTTGGTCGTGGGCTCTCGTACTATTATGAATTATTGATATTATGAGGAATGAGAAATAATTAATTTCAAAAATACAACATTAAATAACAACATACCTGAAGTACACATAAAGCTCTTGAAAAATCTCGCGGAGCTTGACACAGTTGTACAGCTTGCACCCAGGGCTTCCGGAGCAAAGACCAATTTGGATGCATAAATTGCACCACTATATTTGACTCTAATTGTAATAATGTCTGCCTTAGAGTTGCTACCAATAATGGTTTTGTAGCTGAAATTAAGTTAAAAATTAATAATTCATCTAAAATTCTAAAAGAAATAACAAAAGAAAATAAAAAGAAGCATACCATTTAGTAAACCAATCCATTTGAATTCTTGTCCAGATGATAAAGAAAATTTATGGGACATATACCGTTTTTTATCCCTTTCTTCGTTTCTTTGAGGCTTATTCAATGCTAAAGGGTTGCTGCTGTACTGGTTTATATAATTTTTAAACGTATTTTCGTTACCCAATTTGAATAAGTAAGTTCCATTAGATATTTGATTTGATTTCAGACGTGTCACTCTTTCTGTTACTGAAAAATATATGAAATTAATTTAAAATTATTAATGACTGAATGAATAACGAATCATAGTTATTATAAGTTAATAAAAATAAATAAAATTATCCGAATAATTCACTTACCTTCATCATTCTTTTTATATGTCGCCGATTTATTTTTCCGTACTCTTTTAATGTTATCATCTTCATCATCTATTTCAGTGTCGTCATCATCTTGTGGGTCCTCAGTAGAAATGGTTACTTCATTCATTACATCTCCATCGGGCATAGGGGATGAATCATTATCAATTTTATCATCATCAATTTTTAAACCTATTGATGGATCATTTTGTTTTTCTCTTTCTCGAAGTCTTCTTTGTTTTAAGATATTATTATTTTCTACTTCTAAATAAGACTTACGGTTACCTTTCGATTGATTTGTCAGGCGTTCTGTTATATCCATCTGTCTTACTATTTCTTGTTTCATTTCTAATAGCTCTCTTACTAATGGAGTTTCCATTTCATCAGCATCTAAAATATTTAAAAGCTCCTCTAACTGCTGTGGCGTAGTGTAATACCAGACTTCGCCGTTTTCAGATTCCCTATAACAAGAGAAAGAAAATATTGGTATACAAAATATAATTACGTAATTACAAACGTACAGATACTACATCTACCGTGGTGTCACTGGTGGGAGAAACCAAAAAATATCAGCTTACAGTTAAAAACATTTTAAAATTATTATTACTTACACGAATATTCGACGCGCAATAAACCAGTACTTGCGCCCATGTCTATCGAAACCAAGATGCTCGTGTCGGCATAATAAACCTTGTTTCTCAGCATCAGGTAGACAGTCAGTGACGCCAACAGTTTTATGTTGTTTACAAAGCGCACACTGCCAATCTTCGGATGGGACGTTTACCAATGGTGGATCAACACACTCCAGGTGGTATACCGCAGGGCAAGTTTCACAACATAGTAAATCTCCAAGACGATGACATACCCGGCAGTGATCGTCATAATGAATAGGAACTGCAATATAATAATATGAAACAAAAATTAATAGGACATCACAAAGTAAATAAAAAATATGAATTACATGTAGCACAATTAAACGTGAAAAAGGGCACCTATGCACAATACCTACATTTATGTTACGTCTGACATTGATAAACATGTTAGCAAAAGAGTGAAACTAATCTGCTCACTGTCTGGTTTATATAAAAAGGAAAGGGTGGAATTTGATTGGCACTCATATCATTCCCCTCTGACACCTAGGGCCGGCGGCATACGTTTCATTATTATTGTACATTTAAATGTAAATAGTAAAAATAAACAGCTTAAATAGTCCAATTCTGTTTGCTAACTCTTATGTGAATACACAGATTTTAATTTATTTCAGAGATTGGCGTTTTTTTCGCCGCGTAGGTTCGTTTTTAACACGCTTTTTTTAAGGTTGTATACGCGTTATAGAATACAGCAAAACGAGTGCGCACCGCGAACATGCGATAGACTAATTGAAGTGCGAATTATAGAGCATAAATACATACATGTCTATGCAACTTTAATGGGATTAGTTTTAGAAAATAGACTTTCTGAATAAAATTACTAGATGATTACTGTCGGCAAAGGTCCTTCAGGATAACATTAGCAGGTGTATTTGTGTAATATTATTATAATAACATTGGCTCAGGAACAGTATTCAACTTGCTTAATTTATAAATAATCTAGGTAAATTGAAGTAAATTCACTATGGTGAGGAATATTTTGCTTGTGTAACTCATTTTGGGAACTAGGTACTTATGAGGGGAAAGTAGTAGTACTTTGGGAAGGACTTCATCTATCCCCTTATTAACAAAAGTTACACCCTAGTTGAACTCCGTTTAAATTGTCATTTAGTATGGAAATGTCATTTTAATCCAGTGTTCATCCCTAGTGTAACTTTTTATTAATAAGGGGGCTAAAATACTTTTTCCTAAACAAAAATAAATAAAATCTCAGTAAGCTGGTGTACTAACTTAGCAACACTTAAGCCGGGTTGACACGTTACGAGACAGCTCGGACCGAGTCACGTCCGAGTACACTCGTACGAGTCAGCGTCATACGAGTGTACTCCTATAGTGGTTTAACTTTACACGTTCATAGTGTACTCTTATCAAAGCTCATTCAATTTTGCACCAATTTTGTGTCAACTCTCGGAAAACACTGATCTGTTCAACATGGAACAGACTGATCTGCTGTTGCAAGGTATCACAGTTGTTGTTAATAAAAGAATTGAACAATATAATGCGCTCAATAGCGGCATTTCGGGCATCTTTGATTTTATACTCTTTAAGTCTCACGTTCCACAGCACTTCTTCTTCTTCATACAGTTCCACGAACCTGACAGTATCACGTTCCGACCACTTTTTCCTTGACGCCGCCATTATTTTTAATTAAAATTGTCTGAGCTCAGATCCGAGTGATAGAAAAAATAGAGCAGCGTCCTAGTCCACTCTGTCATAGTACATTCGTACGAGTGCGCTCGGATTACATGTTTACACGATACGAGTAGCGTCCGAGTAGTAATCTGAGACCACTCGGTCCGAACTGACTCTTATCGTGTCAACCCGGCTTTACCCTGGGTTGCACCATCTTACTTTAATTATAAAAAATGTCAAGTCAACAACAAAAACAACAGCAAAGTCTGTACATAAACACCAGCCCCCCTCAACAAGTTGCACAATGTGTCAGTTTTTAGGACAGTATCAACAGATTAGATTTTCGATTACATCAAAAAGTGCCACTAGTCTAGACCCACAGTTATAGTTAAGGTGATGCAACTCAGCATAAGATTTTTTATGTATGTGATAGTTAATGTAAAATGGAGCAACTCAGGGTTAGTAATATAATTCTATTATACTTTTTGTCAAATTAATCCTACAGTTTATGCGAGGCTTACAACCAACAATAAAGTGCTATAAATGGTCTGATAAGATTATACATATATTAAATAGTATTTAATAGTCGATATTGCATAAGTTTGATACTCCAGCTACCTACTAGACAAGTGTACAAAACATAGCTCTATAGCTCACATTATCACAAACAGTAATAAATAATATTGTATGTATCCGCTTACCTTCACTTAGAAGATCATCTCGAACTGGGTTGGTAATTAGAAATTGATTGCACAAGAATTGCAGCACCACCACTCTATCTTCTACAGATGTAAAAGGATATTCACAGGAATTTACAATTTTAACAACTTTCTGGTCAAATGACTTGTCACTTTCAACATAAATCCTAAGGACCTCAGGCCATGTCATAACATCCAATAAAAATAAAGTTATGTTAACACTATCTTTATGGTCCAAGGGACCGAAATGTGTCTGTTGGGCATCCTCTTCTCTCAATAAAGCTTTCAAGAGCATTATATGAACTTCAATTAGCAAATTGCTCTGATCTTCACAACTTATAGCTGCACATAGATCTTCAATCCGAAATGGAGACAATCTCACAAGATGTCTAAAGTGCCGAAGCACTTCATATATGCTAACTACTTGTAGCACTAAAGTTTGAGGGATGATCAAATCATCTGAGGAAGATGGAATTTCCAATCGGGGAATCTGTCGTTCTTCCTGAAGCCATAGTGGATCAGGACTAGGAGCACGTAAGGCATTAGAAACAACCTTTCTTGGAGTACCTCCAGACGTACTAAAACTGCTGACTGAAAAATCACTGTCACTGGCTGCACCATCTCCAGCACTTTCTTCAGAACTCTCACTTCCGCGATCTTCTTCGGGTTCTGACTTGTCGCTGTCATCTCCGAAGTCAGACCCATAATGGTATTCAGACTCGTGGTAATCTGCAGCTTGAGGATTATATCCTCGGCGCGAGTATGCACTAGACAAACCGCCTCGCTTACTTTTGTGAGTTTTCCCACCTCGTAGTTTTCTTGTACTTCGTTTGCTTATATCGCTTCCTTGCGGCGATGACGCTCTCGAAGCTGATGGTGTACTTACTACTGATGCAGATCCCACATTTTGATTTTGCAAATATTTCGGTTTTTTCAACAAATGATATTGAAATTTTCTATTCTTTTCAAAAGTTCCCGATTTCGGGGGCCTCCCGCGTTTCTTCGTCCCCCTACCCGACATCATCAAGAACAACTGTCAATTATATACCGATTCGCACGTGTACCACAAAAACATAGTCTTGTTTACAAAAACAAAACGATTGAATTGCATTTCAGTTCATCCTAAATCCAACGCAGTCATGTTCCCAGCGGTTATCGACGCTAGTTGAGACACTGAACGAAACACAACCATATATCGAAGGAGTCTGTACGTTTCACACGCTAATTATAACTAAACAAATCCAATCACTGATAAGAAATTAGGCACTGAATTTTATCAAAAGAAAGAAGGCACCAAAAATGAAATGACGCGAAATGTGAGTACATGCAATTCTAAAACGCTTAGATGCTGGCTTCTCATTGGTTGATTCAATCCGCCATGTTGTTTCATACCTTGTAATTATTGAATTTTTATACTATCAATCATAAAGGCTGAAACCGATAAGCCACTTGCAAGTGCAAATCAAAATAACATTATTTTACAGTAAGACAAAATCACAGCATACTTTATTCAAGAATATCTGAAGCTATCGCTGAAAGGTAAATTAATCACACTGAAAAGTCACTTGGTTCTACGGGGCGGCAGCCATTTTGTGTTGTAGTACCAATCAGTTGAACTTCCTATAATTTGTATTGTTATTTCTAAATAAAGTATAAGATTTTTTAAACTCAATATTCATTTCATAGAGATATAATTATCAAGGATTACATTATTTTTTTCTTTATAAAACAATGAAGTTTATATACTTCGAATAATATCGGATACGGATATGGTTCTTGATCTCACATCTTCATGTTGGCTACTCTGCAATGTAGTGATGTTCTGTCATAAAAGTGGTCTATGGGTCACGACAGTCACGATCCCGATTACTCAGCATCGAGGATTGATGTTGTTGGAGAAGATAGGCCCTTTTTAGTGTGCGTGCTCGCGCTTCTATTCGATAAATTTCTCGCATAGCGTTGATTTGCATTCCGAAATTGGTGTAATATTAGTGGATAACTGTTCCGTTATCGATAGCCAATGGGGCTTTTAACAAAAAAAAAAGTCAACAGTGCTGTTGTCACTACAGCCAGCACCACCTATCCATTCATTCATTTATTCAATGTCAAAAAAATCCATGAGTGCGGCACCTGCGGCTCTATAAAATAGGATTTTTCCGATTTGAGAAATAGTTTTCCTTCGAGGTAAGTGTTCGGATTTATCTATTTTTAGTTAATACTATTGCATAATATTTTGTTAAATTATTGCATGGTACCTTTTTTATTTCAATAGTGTGCATACTCATCAACACGTATTCACGATAATGATGTATCGTATGAAGAAAATAATTTCACACGATGAAGTAATAGAGTTACCGAAGTGTATGTACCATGTAAAAAATCCAAACGAAGCTTTGCGGACGAGCGAAATCGATATCAATATCAGTGACCAGGTTATCAAACTTCTTAAGGTTTATTTCACCTATATTTATAATTTTAAGTACTATATTTGTATTATTTTTATCCGTTGTCTAGTACCCATAGCACAAGCTTTGCTTAGTTTGGGGCTAGCGGCGCAGTGTAAAATGTCCAAGAATATTTATATTATTTTACATCCATGCAGTTTATTAAACAGCTTTCATATTTTATGCTACTTCATTTTCTTTTATCTCAGCGACATTACAAAATATAGGCTTAACCATGTGATTAATTTACAGGCACCTAATATAAAAATGACTGAGTTGGAACATCGACAAGATGTCCTTTTGAAGAAACTGGATGTCCTTTATGAAAGAATAAAGACCATTAGTTCAATATGCACATTCACAGATACACCATCTCATGCTAAAACTGGAGCTCAGGTTGTAAGTTATCTTAATAATTTTATTCCCTTGAAAGAGGCAGTATACAGGGTAGAATTTCGTTATGCCTCCTGCAGGGAACATACTATAAAAACTGTATAGAAAATTTTACTAAAAAGAATCATTACTTTATTTTTTAAAAGAACAGCAGTCAGCTATTTCCTGAAAAACTCAAGATTTCGTCCTTTTACCTTTCATTTAATTTATCAAGTTTGTTAGAGATTTGATCCTGTAATTTTTAACACATTGTAGTCGGTTCGATTCTCAGGTTGTGGCAAGGTTATTTTCGAAAATCCTTGAATGCAGTATTGAGTAAAATTTTCTATTTACAGTATTAAAAGAGTACTTTCCCTACAGGTTGCATTGCAAAATTTCAGCCTGTATATTGAACAATTTAATATAAAATTTAAGTTTCATACTTCCTTGCTTCTATTTCAGATTCCTATGCCAGAAGTGGTGTTGAATATCAACCCAGACAGTCTGCCATGGTATTTGAATGTTTTTCTAAAGGACTCTCCAACTGTTGCTAGTTTAAGTTGGCATATTCATTCTTCAGTACCTAATGAAAAAGTTGCAAAGATAAAGGCATTTGTGAAGAACTTAAAAAGTGCAACTGATTCTTCAAAAATTAACTTGAGGCTGATATTTAAGTCTGGTAAGATATAATCTTATATTCTTATCCATTCATTCTGCATGTTACTTGTAACTTAAGTGCAATGTGCATATTCATATTATTACTATAATATATTGATTCTAATAAAGATTTTTTTAGTTTCAGCTGATCCTGAATTGAAGTTATCTACACTTGCAGTCCCAATTATAGGCAATGTTAATATACTAAGGTACCTGTGTCTAGTGTATCCAACTGTTCTTCCTTATGACTATAAAGATTATAATATGGAGGGATTATTGGATCTCTGCCATTTGCTTGAGAAAACACCAGAGAAGAACAAAGAAGCTATTATACTAAAAATATTTGCTCAATCAAAGGGCTGGATTTGTAATGGACAACTTTCTATCGTTGATATAGCTGTCTATAATGTTATCAAGCAGTTACGAAGTCGGCCTAAATCTGTGCCAAAGGATTGGTTTGATAAGTGTGAAAAGCTATGTATGTAAGTCTGAAAATAAAGTTAAATAAACTATAATTTTGTATTTTTTAAGCCCTACACTTATATACTTTTAAATTTTATGTATTGCAGGGATACACTTATATCTATGCAATAAATTCAGTTTTCATGAATACAGAACTCAATATTAATAGGTTTTTAGGTTTAATAAAAGCAAATAAAAGTCTCATATACACAATATCTTCCATATATTGTCTACAGAGGTTCATTTTACATAGTATACCCATAAACTATAAGGTGCCAATATTATTATTTATGTAACAAATTAAAAAGTGTATGTACATAGTTTTCGTTAGACCTAATAGTATTTGGCTATTTTATTCTACAAAAATCCAAATAGTCTACAACAATGGCACCTGTAAAAAAACAGTTTTTCAGTTTTGTTTGGATTACACATTCAAATTGAGATAAACCTCTGAAGCCGTAACATTCAATTTGTTTGCATTGTTTTCGTAATTTTTAAAATAGTATGACCATGTGGCCTAAAGAAATTATAATATTGTTTCTATTAGGTAGTTTAAAAATGACTGGATTTCTCTGCCTGTTTTTATGACGCAAAGGTACTTCTAACCACATTATCACATAATATGATGTGGCGAGAATTAATTTATTCAATATCCAGCCGTGCCAAGGAAGTCTCTCTAGAAAATGGTATAAAATACAGTTGTGTTCTTAAACCTTGTCTATGACGCTTATTATACGAGTCTATTATTTCTATTCCTAATAACTTTCATAATGGAATTATTATTGAGGAATCTATGTTTACAATTAAAATTTGTAAAGTTTTTTTAAGTAAGTAGGTATATGAATAGTCCATTAATGATAGTTTTTCAGTGTAAGGATTGTATATTCGTATTTCGTATAACAATCATCTATCACTAGCATAAAATTCAGGATAATTTTTAATTATTTCATTCTATCTTTATCTTATAATAGCAGAAATACAGGTGGATTAGAAAATACATAAAAGTACATAATCAAAAATTCTGTATCCCAATCAATCTATTTTATGGGAAATTAACTGAGCTGTTTATAGAGTATTTTGTCTAAATGTTAAATATTCTAATAAGTGATTAGATGTAAAATTTTGGTGGAATATGTAGAAGATATTTCGAGTTCAGTTACAAGTTTTATAAAATAACATCATAGATCACAGATTTTTAAAGTTGTGCCAAATTCAATCTCGCTAGTAAATGCAGCTGCCTTATATATAAAAAGAATATTTACAATAACAAACATGATTAAAATCTAAAACTATCAGTCAATTGCATATTTTATAATAATACGTTATTTTATAAAATAATTAAAAAGCTGCGAAAGGTAGTCTTATAAATAAAACCTAAATTAAATAATTATCTATCTAAAATAAAACTACTTGATAGTCTTTATTAACGTTTCCTTATTCTTTTTTTATGAAAATGCTTACAACTGTGGAGATTTTTAAGCTATACCAATATTTAAGTTTTGTAATAGTTACAATTAAAAAAACACTTAATATTGGTCAGTGGCTTCAGCTGTGATATGGGTACATTACGTTCACCGAACACAATATACTATTTATTCATCAATCGATATGATAATAATAGTATCGTGTCTAACAATTACTATAATATATTGGTCATTATTTTTATTCTTGAGTAGTTTTTATTGTTTCGTCGTTCCTCAAAATAGGTCCCAAATTACATATAAAACAAATTACGTCATCATAAGTACTTTCACATTACATCCAACATTTATAAAATGGTGTTCTTTCAGCAATAATTAACTTTTTAAAAAAATAAAACCGACTTCAAATGCGTGAACACAAAAAAAATCTAAAAATTAAAAATATTGCGTATAAAAAAGTTTATCCCCAATTTTCCACCCTTGGGGGTGAAATATTTTCTTCAAATTCGCATGAAACCACCCTTTTGATAATACCTATTCAACAAAAAAATAATCGTTCAAATTGATTTATAATCGGCGGAGATATTGCGTATAAAAAAGTTCATCCCCAATTTTCCACCCTTGGGGGTTGTTTTTTCTATTATTAAATTTAAATGGGACCACCCTTGAGGTATTACCTATACGCCGAAAAAAGATTTGTTCAAATCGGTTCATAATTGGCGGAGTTATCGCGTAACAAACATAGAAAAAAAAAAAAAAGAAACATACGGGTCGAATTGAGAACCTCCTCCTTTTTTGAAGTCGGTTGAAAAGTAATAGATTAAACTCCCACAAATAAAAAAATCAGTTTAGCTTGACAACTTTGTATCGACAAGGACTTTCGTTTAGCTGTAAAGTGCGATCGCACAAATGATGAACGAACTGCAAAGAATGTTTTTAAATGTAATTTTTAAGTCTACGTGATTCTGCGGAAATGTTCACATTACATAGTAAAGGTTATTTGTCAGGACTACGGAACTCAAAAAAAATTTACGTTAAGCCGGACATGTTTGGCTTTTTACTATTTTACGGTCTTGTCCGGCCAAATATTGGATTGTCCGGCTTTTTTATTTGGCTGCCGTGCCAGGCGAAAGTCGAGCCACAGAATAATATGAAGCGCACGCATCATGATGTTGGGCAACCGATGATGATAGTACTCACACCAATTGTCCCCCCCGTCACATGTCCGGCTTTTAGGGTTAAATGTCCGGCCAAATGAAGCACAGAGTCCGGCTTTTGTGGTTTAGAGATCGCAAGTTTGTAAACGCTATCAGTTATAGAGTTCATTTCTACAATAACCAGCAGTTTTGATGCCTATGTACCATATGCCACCTATGTATGATCAAAATTATGCATATAGAAATTAAATCACGGATTTATTTGAACACTATCATCAGTAAAACTTTCAAGATGAATATAATAAATTACATAAAAGAGTTGCCGCAACTATTTTCAATGTTGTCGGCGATTATGATTGTAAGGCTTCAAAATTTGCTTTGTATATTATACAACTATAAAGCCGTGAACCATTTATATCACTATATTTTTGTATTTTACTGCAATAAACTTAACAGCATACATAATATAATATCATCACATTAATGCAGGTACATAAATCTATGATTTATGTAATCACTATCATTAAAACAATATTTTACCAAAATGGTTAATATGGCAGCACCAATGAAATGTATTTCTTACAACTTCCTATACATATCATAATAAAATTCAAGAAAATTTTAATTGTTTTCCCTGGTTTGTATAGTTGATGAATGATACATGAGGAAGTTTAAATTATTAGAGGCCTCATTAACTACAAATCAATACAATTAATTATGCTACAATTGCTTGCTTATCAAAAAGGGAATATTATTTTTGTATTTTTAAATATACTTTATTATTATTATGGCTCACCATATGCAATGACACTATCATTAATAATGTAACGAGATCTCGTATCATAGTAACATCATAATTACTTTAATTGGTCGTAGTACAACGAATAAAATGATCTTGTAGTTACATCCAACGATCTTCGTTTATAATGGCTACTAAGATTTTTACGCTAGCTGCCTTTCCTAAATTGCTAATCTACGCTAATATGTACAAAAATAGATAATGAATAAGATGGGCAGTGTTGGCGATTACTATGGAACCATTCACTAAACGAAACCAATGGCTATCCTTTTTCTTTAGATAAAATAGAAGAGGAAGAGATAAAATTTCATGCTCAATCTATTTAATGTTTACAAGATAATTGTATTTTTAGCTTCAGTCTCGTTTGTATCGACTAAAGCGAAAAAGAGACACTTTCGGTTTCGTTTGAGTCGTAGTTCAAACTCGAATCGCATCAAATAAGTCCTAGTATGTACAAAATATGTTAAGTCCGGTCGCCGAGCAGATAGAATTTTGTCGAATGTCATCCTTATCACTCGCACTTAATTATATTGCTGTCGCGACTGTGCGATGGGCGGCCGCAGTGAGTGTGCCAGAGCGACAGCAATATAATTACACGCGAGCGATGAGTGAAGTGGCAATGGGCAGGGCACATAGTACGCAGAACTGACGGCCGATGGGGCAGCAAGGTTCTGGAGTGGAGGCCGCGTACCGGCAAACGTGGGACGTCCCACCCACAAGGTGGACCGACGACATCATAAAGGTAGCAGGAAAGCGCTGGACGCAGGCCGCTACCAACCGGGTAACATGGAAAGCATTGGGGGAGGCCTATGTTCAGCAGTGGACGTCCTATGGCTGAGATGATGATGATAAGGATAGGTAGCTTGGGGTCATTGGACGAAATTCTATCTGCTCGGCGAGCGGACTTTAGACAGGGCAGTGTTTAAGCTACATGTGCACGGCTTGCAGCGGCGCCGCGACGGGCGCGGGCGGCTCGTGTCATACGAAGGAGGAGAAGCCGGGCAGCGGCGCGCGGGACCGCGCCATGTTGTTCATGACGATCTGGCCGCCGTTGAGGCTCATGACGGCGCTGCCCTCGGGCTCGCTGTCCGTGTAGCTGGAGTAGTTGCGCACGGGCCGCTGCCGCTTCCACGACTGGCGCAGCGTGTCGTTCACGTTCGCGTAGTGGTTCACGAACGAGTGCGGCTCCGATCTAACGCTCTCGTTCTCGCTCTCCGAATTCTATGAATGAAAATTTTACGCTCATTTCAGTTAATGCGCCTGTGGGCTTAGTGCGAGTTTACATCAAACGTCTTCACTATGAGGCGATGACGCGTATGACGGATTGTACAGCGACCCTAGCGGATACTTTCAAGAACTAAAATCTTCATAGATTTTTTAAACGCAATCACAGTGACGACGTTTGATGTAAACTCACACTAAGCCCTCTGATTTGTTTACCGTTTGGCTTGCGATGTTCTGGGCCAAACGGTTGTAATAAAGAATTATAATACAAAACGAAGAAAGTACGCTACAGTATGTATGTACACGATAAAATAAATTAAAAACATCTAAAGGTTTGGAAGATTGTACAAAAATACTATACAATAATTATTTATGTATGGATGATGAATGAGCTTTAGCTATGAAGTTGGATATATTTTATTTGAAGGATATATCTTACACCAGGATTATGTTTACTAAAGGTTATAGCTTACTGGCGGCAAATGTGTGAATCCGCCACTAATTAGCAACTAGAGGAACTAGCATAGCATTAGTTTTGATACTAACAAGACTTTTAAATGTTTAATCTTAGGTGTTTCTTATAGTTTGAACTTTAACATCCATATTCATTTGAAAAATTCATCTTATCCGCTGTAGATACATCCTTTTAAATCTTTAGTTTCATTTAGACATTCAAAATACAATTTTTATTTAGCTAAAATTTTATGGGTTTTAAAATATGAACTCTCAGGCTTGGCGTTTATGAGTTCGTTTCCTACCGTTATTGTTTTAAGTAATATGATGTAACGAATTAGAATACACATTACATTAATTTTACAGCTTTTCCTTAATATCAATCGCGGCAAGCCTCGCCTGGAAGTTCAAAACCAAAGTGCCTATTGAAAGAGGTGCTCATCTTTTGGAAGCGTGACCAAATGATAATTAGCGATAGCGGATATCTCATTGATATTTACCGTCACGAAATCCGATCGGTAGTGGTGAAGGGAAAAAATAAGTTCCGAATTTAGTGACACGGAGCACGTGGGCGATCGGGAGAGTTCAGACAACGCTGATTTTGATGGTGATTACCTGCGAGTCCGTGGAGCTCATTTCGGATGGTTTTTCTGTGACGGAGGAGTCGTCGGGGTTTTCGTCGTAGGCGCGGAGGCTTTCCTCGTCGCTGTGGTAGGCGACGTTGGCGGGGGAGGGGCGCGGAGGGGACTTGCCGAGCGCGCCGGCCTTGCGCCGCAGCGTGCCGCCGGCGCCGAGCGCGCCCACGCTCGCCACGGAGTTCTGGCGCGAGCGGTACAGCTCCATGGCCAGTGAACCGCGCTCGTCCGTCTCGCCTGCCAGTGACTCTTCTAACGTCTTTTGGGCTTCCTCTGCAATTTTATCGAAAGTGTGTCGTTATTGTTTCGATAAACAAAGCTTGTCTTATATCTGTCAGCGTGAAATTGTGAACTCTGTCAGTTTATAATATAACGCGTTAGATTGTAAATTAACAGTGGGTTAAGTTAGGTTAGATTGTAATTTAACTACGTCAGATTATAATCTGACGGAATTCACAATTTTACGGTGACATATCCACATTTATACACTAAACATTTTCACGTCAAATAATTTAAAATCATGATATTTAGAAAACTACATTGCGCATTATTGCACTTTTAAAATACATAGGTGTGATATAATATCTATGAAATTAGTAAGAGGCCCTGGATATGTAAAGGTCTGTGTTTTATACAGATGTTGAATACCACAAAGTGATTAACATTTATGTGATAAATTCTTTACACCAGTCATTAAAATTTTACTTTTTTTCGAAGATAATCTTAATTATAACTTACTTTTGTATTTATAACTTTTGCTCTTCACGCAAAGTATCGCGATGACCATTATGATGATGATGACAGACGCGGCCGCTAGCGCCACCATGAACCAAGTGCGACGATAGAACGGTCGGTGCTGCAGGTATCCATACTCGAGGTACAACTTGGAAGGCGTCACGATCACTTTGTCGCTGTACGTAGGGTTGCTTATCCCGTACTTGTTGTACGCTATCACACGGAACGAGTAAGCCGTTGACGGCAGCAAACTCTGGTATGATATCGTAAACTCAACTAACATTCCGTTGCTGGTGCGCGTTATAGTCTCCCATCTTGCATCATCTGAAATTACAGCATTGGTACAGTAAAGTGATTTTAACACAATGTAGAAGCATTTTAGAACATTCACGCAAATAAGAAATAAGTTAGAAACAGAAAAATGGTGCATTTCGGCAGTCAAAGTCGAGTTATAGGTAGGGAAACACGTGCTCAAGGTTATTTTATATACTATCCAACTTACAGACTTGCCACGATTCCTTGGCTGCATTGAAAATAAATCAATTTAATCATTAATATTGTGTAACAAAATATGATTGCATGGCAAATATTGCCAATTGGTCATTGAGATTGATAGGGATCATGTTCAACTGTCGATGTTTATAGGCTGAAAAATTATGAATGGCAATTGGTAAAGACTTGCTGATCTTGTTTAAAACTGAAGGTAGTTGTGTTGGGAATGTCTTGATTATTGTCGATAGAAGTATTGTAATCGGGCGACTTCGCGTGATGTAGCACGACACATCAACGATGAGTATCTATGAAAAGGTATCTCACAATATCTGACGACATCGCACAACATTGCCTGACATGTGTCATAGAAGTAATCTAGGTGCCACATGATTGCCCGAGGGAACACCAAACGAGGTTCTTGTATCGTCTATGGCAGTGTTTTTCAACCTGTGGGTCGCGATCCCCTGGGGGGTCGTGAAGCCTCTATAGGGGTAAAACTACCTCAGTAAAAAAAAACAGTAAAGTTTTAAAGCTAGATTTATCCGAAATCTAGTTATGCAAATGCATAAATGTTGTATAGATTGAAGAATTCGTTCTCTGCAACATCTTCGTAAAAGGCATGAAAAAAAGCGAAGGGTCGGGGGGTCGCAAAAATTTTTTTCATGCTAGCATGAAAGGGGTCGCGTAATGAAAAAGGTTGAAAAACACTGGTCTATGGCAACAAAAATATTTAATCTGTCAACACCGAAAAAAAAAATTGTTCATAGAGCGTACCTTTCTTTCTGGCCTCGATGTAATACCCCAGCAGTGGGCCGTTTCCGGACGGCGCATTCTCCCAGCTGAGGTGCAGCGCGGCGGGATCGGGCGCCAGGCGTAGTGAACGCGGCGGCGCGGGGGAGCCGGCCTATGGGGCAACGATGTAATGGTGAAGTGAACCGATGTCATCAATGATATCGTGACAAAATTTTACTATATTATCGATATCGTACCAACTATGCCCGAACAGAGTTATGACTCGTTTGCATAAAACATACAACTCTAAGTATAAACACATTGATTTCTTTAATGTGAGTAAGAGTACACTGAAGAAGGAAATGAGACATATTATTCTACAAGTTAATGCGCCGGGTTCCTAGAAAACCTAATATACCTATCTATGTGTTCTGACCACACGGTGCATCTTATACCTACCTAACTCAGTGATCACGTTATTGTGGGATATAAATATATATAAATAGGGACATTTAAGGTCTGCCTAATTAATGTTTAATTGTTTTGATGTCTTAAGGGTTGTAATAATTTACCCAAATTTACTTATATTTAAATTTAATTATACTAAGATTGTATAACCTGAGCGCTGCATGTTCAATCATGATTATTATTTTTAGGCATGGTTGAGGATGCAGCGCTTATTGGTACTCATTACCTGGTACTAATTACCTGATAAAATGTAATAATGTACGAACTTATTTAAGCAGCTAGAAAACTCTTTAATTGGCTTAGATTTAATGCTCACCAAACTAACATGAATATTGTAAAACAGCTGTTGAGTTTCTGAATAAATAAATAAATAAATAGATATGACCATCTAAAGACACACTGGTCGCGCCTCACGGACTCAGCGTCTCCCAGAATGGTGGGGGCACGAGTGGGGGCTACGATATAATATAAACGTTTGCGCGCCACGCGGGGTCCTTCTCTTTTGCTCCCGAATCCATACTGTCGCGGTTTCTACTTCCATTGCTCTGTATCTACTTAAATATTTAATAGTAAACCTGTTGTCTACCAGTCTACTTGAGTTGTTACTTATTCAAGAAACCTAGAAGTCTCTATACACATACACATTTGCTGAACTATTGAACACACACTAACACTGTGTGCGAGCGCGACAGCAATATAATTACGCGCGAGTGATAAGGATGGCTTGGGGTCATTGTACGAAATTCTATCCGCTCGGCGACCGAACTTTTTATGACCCAAAGGGGGCAAGTTAGAGAATGCATTAAATGCAGTTCGCATTAAGAATTTAAGATCATAATTATTTTGTGCATCAAAGTATGAAATAACTGACGAAGACGATTATCGCTCATCATGGGCTTTTCACAATTTTATTTACTAATAGGTTTTTTTACACTGGTTTTGTTGTTTTTACTATCGCATTGCCAACATTGAACAGTGGGATAAGTTATACATATGATGTTTTGTAAGTTCTGTGATAATAAGATAGGTTTTTTATGCTGAACAAAGCAGGTAAATTTTGACTGCAATCACACCGGATGTTAAGTGAAGTAGAATAGAGAGCTAGACTGCATCAGTACCTGCCCTGTAAGTGCCTATTCACTCTCGCCGTGAAAAGCCCGCATTATAGTTTCCATTGTTGTAAAAATGTTCTAACATTATCGATAAACATCGTCATTTTTATCGATAAACATCGTCATTTTTATCGATAAACATCGACATTTTTATCGATATCATAAAGACTACATCAGTACCTGGGGGCCAGTACGCACGCGCGCGGCAGCCGCTGCGCCCGCGCCGATGGTGACGCCGCGCACGGTGAAGGCGTACTCCACCTCTTCCTCTAACCCGCCCACGGCCAGGCGACGCTCCTCCACTTTCTGCTTCACTTGGCGGCTGAACCCTGAAAGAAAAACACCGAGTTCTTATGTTTTATCTTGACAGGCAACGAGTAACACCACCGTCTTTATCACTCATTGTGTCGGTTTAGTCGTTCATATTCAAAACCAGGACCAGTCGTGGAAATCCTTTTCCCGGTTCCTTGGAAGACGCTTTTGTCCGGCAGCGAACGGGATGAAAGGAACGAACGATATACAAAACACTAATCAAAAATTTGTGAACTGTAGTATTCAACCAAAAGTGTGAACGGTTGTTTGGTTAGTAGTGAGTAGTTTGGTTAATTAAAAGGGAGTTACTTGACTAAATTACTCGGCTAGTGCGAACAAGACTAGAGTCAGGCGACCAACAAAGCGTGTTCGTAACTTCGTAATCGTATATTCTCTTGCTGAAGTTGATGCTAGTATGATGACGGAGGGCATGTCATTGATGTCGGTAGGTGACTGATACTTTTCATTTCATACACATGTTACACACTCTACTATTACACATTCTACTATTTTATTGCATCATCTTCGTCCCAAGTCCCAACACTCAGTACGGACGCGTTACGTCTTATTTTCAATAAAAAACTCACGTTCATCCTGCTCCACCGTCTCGTACGTCACGAGGTAGGCCTGTATGAGCCCGTTGCGGCGGTAGGGCGCTTCCCAGGTCACGACCAGGCTGTTCATAGTGATGTCGCTGAAGGTAATATTGCGCGGCGCTGACGGTAGGCCTTGCTGTGTGCGCACCAGTATAGCGCTCGAGCGCGGCCCGTCGCCGGCTGGGTTGAACGCTAACACCTATAAATTGATAAGTGATATGAAATGAAATGTATAAGACATGTCAGATAAAAAACGAAAACGACGCCAAATTCAAGTTTTTCAAAATGTAAGTAAAGAAAAATATTTACCTGAATCTTATACTGAGTGAACTTGTCCAGAAACACTAAAGAATGAGATGTAGCGGTGGCGGGTACTACTTCAATTTCCTCTTCAGCCTTTCTGCCTAGCTCGGGCTCTTCTGGCGACTCCGTCATAAGGTAGAAAATCTGATAAAACAAACAGTTCTTTGTAATATAAAGATCCAAAAAGAATATTGTTAATTCTAAAAGTATTTTTTAAAGAAAACGAATCCCAATCAAATGTACTTTTATTCTACATCTCTACATCGAGGTGAGTCTATTACCTTATACCCCAGTAGGTCTCCATTCTGCTGCGCGAGTAGGGGCGGTTGCCACTTGAGCGAGACCTCAGTGGGGGACAGCGGTTCTGCGGCGACGTCTCTGGGCGGGGCGGTTGGGACCGCCTCCCCCACCCACACCACCGCGGGCGTGCCACTGGGCCCCGCCCCTTGCGAGTTTATGGCGCACACGCTGATCTCGTAGTTGCGATCCACTGATAAGTCGGTTAGAACCACCTCTTCGCTCTGAAAATTGATTTTTTTATGAGATGAGAATTGATCATAGAGAATAGTTTGAACTTTTTTTATCTTTGCTAACTTGAGCCCTACAGCGGTAGCGGCGTAAGGGGGGGGCGGTGGGGGCGGTCCGCCCCGGGTGCCAAGCATCAGGGGGTGACAAAGTCGCGCAGATTAGTACTCACNGCATCAGGGGGTGACAAAGTCGCGCAGATTAGTACTCACTGACGCATCTGCGTGGCAAGGACGGTCGTGATGTCATGACAGGGGGGGGGGTGCCATTCTGGGGTGCCTCAGGCTATAATTTATATTATGACGGGGGGGGGGAGGGGGGGTGCCGCCCCGGGTGCCAACATATGCTACGCCGCCACTGCCCTACAGGCACCGTGACTTCATGCAGGAAAGTCTACCCTCTAAGTGACGGTTTGAGGTCACCCTACCTAGTCAATATACAACTTTTTGTGAGGTATCAAGGCGAGACGTCGACGATTGTATATGATATGGTATTATGATGTCAGTTCGCGTGGTCCAGAGCCGCCCACTGCACGCGCACGCTGCTCGGCGTTATAGGAACTTGGAACCACGTGCAAGTTCTATGCTGATTTGCTGCTTAACCCTCCTATCATTCCTCACCTTAATCCCGGGCACCTCCTGTTTCATTGTCTGCTGCAAAGCAGTAGGGAAGTCCGTAAGTGGCTGGTAGAACACGCGGTAGCCGCCGGTGCGCGTGTCGCCGCTCCAGTGCGGCTCGCCTAGCGCCGACCATCGCACGCGCACGCTTCCCGGCATTATTACATTACGTGTAGGTTCTCCACGGATTTGCTTTAACCCTCCTATCATTTCTCACCTTGATTCCCGGCACCTCCTGCTTCATGGTCTGCTGCAAAGCAGTAGGGAAGTCCGTAAGTGGCTGGTAGAACACGCGGTAGCCGCCGGTGCGCGTGTCGCCGCTCCAGTGCGGCTCGCCTAGGGGCGACTATTGTTCGCGCACGCTACTTGAGGTTATCGCTTCACGTGTAGGTTCTCCACGGCTTTGCTTTAACCCTCCTATCATTCCTCACCTTGATCCCCGGCACCTCCTGCTTCATGGTCTGCTGCAAAGCAGTAGGGAAGTCTGTGAGCGGCTGGTAGAACACGCGGTAGCCGCCGGTGCGCGTGTCGCCGCTCCAGTGCGGCTCGCCTAGCGCCGACCATTGCACTCGTACGCTGCTCGGCGTTATCACATTACGTGTAGGTTCTCCACGGATTTGCTTCACCCCTCTATAATTCCTTACCTTGATTCCCGGCACCTCCTGCTTCATGGTCTGCTGCAGCGCGGTAGGGAAGTCTGTAAGTGGCTGGTAGAACACGCGGTAGCCGCCGGTGCGCGTGTCGCCGCTTCAGTGCGGCTCGCCTAGCGCCGACCATCGCACGCGCACGCTACCCGGCATTATCACATTACGTGTAGGTTCTCCACGGATTGGCTTCACCCATCTATAATTCCTTACCTTGATTCCCGGCACCTCCTGCTTCATGGTCTGCTGCAAAGCAGTAGGGAAGTCCGTAAGTGGCTGGTAGAACACGCGGTAGCCGCCGGTGCGTGTGTCGCCGCTCCAGTGCGGCTCGCCTAGGGGCGACTATTGTTCGCGCACGCTACTTGAGGTTATCGCTTCACGTGTAGGTTCTCCACGGCTTTGCTTTAACCCTCCTATCATTCCTCACCTTAATCCCCGGCACCTCCTGCTTCATGGTCTGCTGCAAAGCAGTAGGGAAGTCCGTAAGTGGCTGGTAGAACACGCGGTAGCCGCCGGTGCGTGTGTCGCCGCTCCAGTGCGGCTCGCCTAGGGCCGACCATTGCACTCGTACGCTGCTCGGCGTTATTGGCACCACGTGTAGGTTTTCTACTGCTTTGCTTGGCGCTGGAGACAAAAATATTGTAATGCATATGATATAGTTGAGAGATATGGTTATTATTGTGTAACCTGTGCAGTAATTGGATATTTAATATATATAAATCCTGCAATTAGCAAAGCTAATATGGAAAAAAAATCAAATAGAAAATCGGTAAAAAAAACTTTTACCTCAAGTATCCCATAAACAAGGTTCTTTACAGTATCCATAGTACAGTCGACAGCACATCAGTCATACATTTTCGTTGCAAAGTCGCCCCTATCGCAACTACTTAAAATACCACAGTGTTTACGTTGACGTGCTGTCGACTGTACATAACATAATATCTCCTAATTTACCTGCTGGCAATGTCCGTACAGTCTCAGTAGCGTTGCTGTAACGACTCGGGCCAATGTCGTTTGTGGCGCGAATTCGGAACTGGTAAGCGGTATACGGCTTCAGGCCTTCGGCGGTGTAAGACGTCGCGAACGGATCCACTCGCTCCGGTATTGTTTGCCAGGTACCACCATCCTCTTTTTGTTGAACTGTGTAATATCTGAAAGTAAAAAATAATGATGTCATCCAAGGAAATCTAATATTAAAGGAATCATTAATTACTTCCACTTCACCAGCGATCCTCGATCGATGGTATGTCACTTTTGCACAGGTCGTTACCTTTTTATAAATAGCCGAAAAGGATATAATTATGTCGATACAAAATACGACGAAATGAGTAGATTGGACAACTTTTTCCTGGAAATCATAAAAGATATTAATTAGGACGAAGTTTTTTTATATGTATAAAGGTTTCCGGTAACAGTTTTTTTTTGCTTAATTATCCGGTACAAATAACATGAAGGAAGACCGTTATCGTCGTGATATTTAAGAAACGTGTAGCAGGGGCATTAGATAATATTTTAGTATGGCTATAGCAGCGAGCTACATTGGCGGCCACGGATGTAGTCTGATTCACACCTAAGCGGCGCGTAGCCGTCGTCCCCAGGGGTCCAAGAGAAGGTGATATGGTGCGGCTGCAACAGTGAGCGGGCCACATTAGGCCGCGCGGGCGGCGCGGGCGCAGCTCTGTTGACGGTCGTCAGCACCAGGGCTCCCGCTGTTCCATCCCACTCTAGCTGTATCTGAGTCAACATACCTAAGCGGCGCGTAGCCGTCGTCCCCAGGGGTCCAAGAGAAGGTGATATGGTGCGGCTGCAACAGTGAGCGGGCCACATTAGGCCGCGCGGGCGGCGCGGGCGCAGCTTTGTTGACGGTCGTCAGCACCAGGGCTCCCGCTGTTCCATCCCACTCTAGCTGTATCTGAGTCAACATACCTAAGCGGCGCGTAGCCGTCGTCCCCAGGGGTCCAAGAGAAGGTGATATGGTGCGGCTGCAACAGTGAGCGGGCCACATTAGGCCGCGCGGGCGGCGCGGGCGCAGCTCTGTTGACGGTCGTGAGTACTAAGGCGCGCGCCGTGCCGCCCCACCCTAGCCTGGTCTGAGCCGTCACTGAAAACAGGTAATACCGCTCCGAAGCTAGCTCCGTTGCTCTGTAAAATAGGAGTACAATTCGTTGGTTATTAATTTATTTGTTATAAATATTTTTATTAATTCACTTTCTTTGCCTTATGTTACAGGGCCTTTCGGTCTTAGCTATTTAGAACTTAAGTCACATAATGCAGTTGAATTCAGTAGTATTTTACGTACCTAAATGTTCTATCAGATGGTAAGAACTCTCTCGAAAACATGTGCTGAGATGTGTTATTGAGGTGGTATGTAACTTTGTACGCTAATATTTCGCCATTTGGATCTTCTGGTACGTCCCATATGATCCGAGCGGTTGTAAACGTTACATCAGGAAAAGATACGTTGGATGGTGGACCAGGTGCTAAAAATAAAAAATCATAAATTATAAAATACAATATTAAGTAATTATATACTTATGTAAGGAGTTCCTACAAAATTTAAAAGCGGTATACGTACTGTCTTCGTAAGTCCTTACTGTAATAGGTGGGTCGCTAAGGGCGCCATCACCTAATCGCGTGTAACCCAATACTTGAATCTGATAGACAACATATTTGCGGAGTTCTGTAAGCGTTATCGTGTGTGTTTGGTTCGATGGTATCGCCTGGCATTCAATTTTTTTATGCTCCGGTCTTGGCGGGGGTACCACCGCGGCGTAGCACACTTTGTACCCTTCGATCAGACCGTTTTGGTCTTGTGCTGGGATGTCACCCCAAAGGACGACCACTGTCGTAGATGACGTGGCATTAGCTGACACGTCACTTGGACCTCGTGAAGGTACTGTAAATTAAAGTTAATACAATAAAATCAAGATTAAATCTAATTGTTTAAGATTTCTAACTAGTTTGGTGTGAAATAAACGTTTTTATGTTATAAAAAATCATAAAATTACCAGCTTCTCGAGTTCTTTCTGTGGCTGTTGGACTCTCTGCAGAAGTACCGACTTCGTTGATAGCAGTCATACGTATTTCATAAACAGACCACTCCTCTAAATTGAGTAGTATGTGTGAGTTTGCTGTGTGGTCATCAATCACGCTAAACAAGGTCTCGTTCGCCCCGCTCCGCTTGTACGTGATGTTATAGCCTTTGGGGTTGCCAAACCATTCGCTTTGTTGCAGGGGCTAAAAGTAAAGATTGTGGATTCAATCGGATCTAATCATTAATTTACTAAAACAGTAATTAAAATAAAAACGATAATTGTTTTTAATGGAAAGATTTTTAGCTTAATTACAAGTTATTTCCTTGTTAAATAATTACAAATTATTTTGTTATCATCCACCGATGTGAACCAATGTGTTTCAATTACAATTATTACTTACAATCCACCTAACACGCAAGTTGGTAGCGCTGACAGCTCGTACAGTGACGTTTCTCGGCGGGTGTTGCGGAGGCGCTTGAATAGTTTGAAACTCTTTGCACGGTTCAGAAGGTTGTGAAGAACCCACAACATTGGTCGCGATCAACCGCAGCCGGTAGGTTGTGAATGGGACAAGACCAGTCACTAGGATGGACTGGGCGTCTGGCGCATTCACTTCGTATATTGTCACCCATGATGAATTACGGGCGGTTTGGGCCTAAAAACGTAAATAATTATCAAATTACATTTCGCATTATCTGGTATAGGCAGAACGTAACGCAGAGTTTGGACACTAACCAGACAACAGACATTTGTTATTACATTTAAATACGTATTTTTGATAAAAATACCCAAATTGAACTAATAAATATAAACAGACATGTTCATGCACAGAAATGTTTGTTTTGTGCCGAGATCGCACCCGCTACTTCTGGCGTAGTAGTCGGGTGCGTCACATTTGAATTATTATTTTTGTACACACATGTAGAGCACATGTAACATAAACACATAACAAAAAAATTAAACTTAAAAACAAAATAATGGCCAACTAACTAAATGTTAATACTAACCTGGACTGTCCACAGTGAGATAGAAGAGTTGCCATCGAAGCCAGGCGTGAATTGGAGAAGTACGGAGAAGGCATCGATGTTGGAGAGGGCCAGGTTGCGAGGTGCGTCCGGCAGAACTGGCTCCACTCCCGACTGGATGGTGGCCGCGCGAGCGGGACCCTCGCCCACCGCGGTCATTGCGCACAGCCAGAATTTGTAGTGAGTACTTGCCTATAATACATTAGTACATTCAGAATATCGATATAGTAGATCGTTTTCATCCACGAAGACACGCCCAATTTTTGGTCGAAGGAAGCGCGGGGTGAGGGGAGTTTGATCCGAGCAATCCGAGCGTCATTATAGTAGTGTGCGGATAATTTAGCGTGTAACATTAGCGGGAGAATGGTGGGGCGCATCTTCGTGGATGACACGATCTATGTATATGTAGCTTAAATAAAGTCTTTGCGCGGCGGGTCACACTAACTACGAGTACTGAGCATGGCGCCTAGATAACGGAGGAAGACACGCAAAGGATTAATATTATTAACGTCCATTACTATGGCTACACATGCTCATACCCAATCTTCAACGGGATTACAACAGGAAATCACGAAAGGCGTTGTTCCACTAGGTCAGACGGTCGTTGCAGCGTAAAAAAACAAATTCAATTGAACGTGTGTTGTGAAGTGGGTTCCAATTAAATTGTTCATTAAAGTGTGTTGATCAATAAATATGAAAACTATTTGTTATTTGTAAAACAACCAGTTACAAGGATTATCTAGCTTGTCAACAATCCAATGTCACCGTCTCTAATTTTAATAATCTCACATGAAGCCGGTACCGTTAATGATTTGCCGTTTGAACAATGGACATTGTGAGCATGGGAATCAGGAAAGTATTGAGATAAACACGTAACAAAACGCTCATGATAAAAAGGGGGTTTGTGTTGTTGGCTTTCTAATAAATCTTTCATTTATGTAAGTACACAAGTATATTAAAACACGTGGTAAGAATCTTGTAACTGAACATACCTGCAAATGTTCGACCTTTATGCTCGTAATATTCGGGGGTAATAGTTCTTCTTTGACTGAATTCTCGTCGTCTTTGATGGCATAGCTAAGTTTATAGCCAATTAATATACCATTAGATTTTTTAGGCGGCGACCACGATACCCGTACAGCTCGGTCCGATATATCGTCAAATTGCAGGTTTACTATTTCGTCTGGCACTAAACACAGAAATGAAATTACACACACGGAAATGAAGAGCCAATATTATTTCATGCGGTAACAATAAGTAGTAAAACTTACGATCTTCTTTAGTCCTTATCAAAACGAAATCGCTTCGTGGGCCATCGCCTGGTTCAGTGAAACACAACACTGAAATGTTATAATCAGTGAATTTCTCTAGGCCGCTTATGATTGCTGACTGTTCAGTCAGAGGGTCAAGTAAGTTGGGCGGCACGCTGACTAGCTTTTGTTCCACGTTCGTGCCTTCGTTATCGTCCCATCTCCACGCTTGCATTTTGTAACCCTGTAATAAAGTATCAATATAGATTTGCTTCATTTGAATACAGGGTTGGCATTAACTTTGAATCTGTTTGTTACGAGGTTTCGTAGTGTTTCAGAGATTTCCGCTTTACATACCTGATTAATTCCATTTATTTTCTGAGGGTTTGGCGGAGTCCACCAAACTGTTAGCGCCGTGGAATTAAAAGGTTCACAACGAACATTATCTGGGGCAGCTTCGGGTACACCTTCTTTTGTTTTAATTGTGTAACTGTCCGAAAATACTCCCACACCTTTATCATTGTACGCGGCTATTTGTACATTATAATCCTTCCACGTGATTAGATCTTGAATAAGGTAATTTCTTTGAGCTTCGTTGGTAATATTTTGGTAAGTCCACGGACTGTTTTCGTAGCCACGCAATCTGTATCTGATGACAAAGCCTAGTATGTGACCATTTCTATGTTCTTCAAGCGGCGGTTGCCACTGTGTTATTATTTCAGATGACGAGCGGGCCGATCCCATGAACCCTACAGGTGGACCAGAGGGAGCTGAAATATGACATTAAAAATGTTCAAATCTGAAATCACTGATCAGAACATGCTTAGTTGAAAAAATTGCATAGCTCAAGCAAAATGTAATTCTTAAGATAAACAGATAGTAAATCAGTACACATGTTCATGCATAACAGTTCCACATGAAACAAATAATAAATATAAATGAAGAAACCAATCATAAGTACACATACACATGACCAAAAGAAAAAGATACGAAGATCCATCTACATTAGAGTGTTATCATACCTTGGCAGCATATTAGATCACTGGCTGCTTGATCACAAAGAGAACACATTTTATTGTAACATCAACTGTGATTGAAGTGACAAACCTTGCAGAGCCATTTTTTCAGTACACAACTTCAACTTTGTGAATAAGTAAACATGATTATGTGCAAATATGGTATAAAATGTGCACACAGGAGCAACAATAATAATGTTATAAGAATTAATTTTGCTTAATAAGTGTACACAATATTATGTAAATTAGAACCTTAGAACGTTGTAATAGTACAGTTTAGCATAAAATGTTAAGTGTTTTTGGTTGTGCTGACTGATGGCATAAAAGCATACAATTTGTTGCAAATACATTGTTTCCATATCGATTTTTACATAACGTTAGTACAATTTGTTTAAACGCTAGTTTACATACCTTCTTGCGGCAATGTAAGTACATCGGTAGGGTCGGACGCAGGCCCTTCCCCTACTGTGTTGACAGCTGACACGCGGAACTGATAAGAAGTGGCTGCTTTGAGGCTAGTTAGCAAGACCCAGCGCTGGTTCGCAGACACATTCATTGGTTCTGTTATCCAGTTCAGCAACGGGTCTGGAGTAGGACCTACAAGCAAACAAAAAACAATATACTAAAAAACATCTGTGTAATTAATTATACAATAGAAATAAATTGATATTAATATGGTGTTTGTTTATTATTAGATAAACTTCCAATATTTCCTTATCGATTGAGGTTAGATAAAATGATAAAAAATAAACTAACCGAATTCTGGTACAACACGTCTTTGTACGATATATTTTTGTATTGGCGAGTTCCCATCAAATCCCGTGGTCCATGATACATTGACGGCTCTCTGCGTTGCCCCGTCAAGCCTGACCGCACGGACATTGGTGGGGGCGAAGGGAAGTTCTATTACGGAGAGGGTGGCGTGCCGCGTGTGGTTGCCGCCCGGTGACGTCACGACGCAAGTGTACTCGCCCGCGTCACTCGCGCGCACGGCTTGCACCGTCAACGCGCCCTCCGCTGTCACCCACACTCGGGTACCAGCCGTCATAGGCCTAAAAGTTATTTTTACCATGAACGTCACTTCCGAAACTTAAAAATAGATCTCAAAACACTCACAAGTCTCTGTGGGAATAATCTCATTACAATACTCACTGTTTATTGTGGAACCAATCAATATTATACTTGACGTTCGGATCATTTGAAACCTTACACTGTAACGTTGCGGTATGGCCTAATAACACTCGCGTATCTACCGGTGGGGCTATTATTTGCGTTCTCACTGAAAGGGGAAACAAGTTAATATTGTCTTCGTACATTTTTTTTACAAACAAAATTCATGATTAGGGTAACTACATACCGAGAACAGTTAGAAAAGCCTCCCCTGAAACGTTCCCCGCATCATTTGCACGGACGCAGGTGTACTTCCCGGTGTCAGCTGTAGTCGTGCTTGTAATTAATAAATCTCCTTCATCCAAAGCTTGTAACCTCCCCGAAAGGTTGATGATTAGCGAATCTAAAACATTACAATTATTATTATAATAAAGTCCAGTCTAGATAAGTAGAGATAGTAAACAATGCAGTTTAATGATGAACTTTATATTAATAAGCGGATACAAACTGGCCTCATTAATAACCAATTAGTTTGAGCCGAGACTAAATTAACAACGTCAGTTGGTTTAAATTGTCATGGGAAACTGTCGATGCGATGATGCGTCTCTAAAAATAGTAACAAGTTATTTTTATAACAGTGATATTATTGCCCAAATTGCAGTTTCCGTACAAATAGTTTTATTTTTTGTGTACCAGTATCAGATTACACGATGTTGCAGTGCTGTGTATAGTTTCATAAATGTTGTAATTCACATCAATCAATACCAACTACTAATGTACTTAAATATGTAAAAGCCTCGTAATGAGGGCCAGTCACGCTCAAACTACTTTCATACCCATTTGGTCTCTATTGAAAACACTTCGTCTTATTACGTACTTAGTAACTATTTAGATCGCATGGGAGTATGTTAGACATTGTAGGCAGTAATAACGGTGAACATATTACGACAATTACTAACCATTGAAGTACCAGGTTACGTTGGGGGTGGGGGCTCCGATGGCGCGGCACGCGATGGAAGCGTCCTTCCCGTCCAGAACGGTCAGGTTGCTCGGCGCTGTCTGCATTACTGGCGGGGACGCTACAAGCCACACACGCTATAGTTAGTCATACTACGCTAGCCGCTACATTTCAATATTAGTATCACACGAAAATGACAAAAAGAAAACGGCGTATCAAATGTTACATTAAAAATAACATGCACATGTCTATTACTATTTTACAACAATAGTTAACTACGTAATAACAAATTGTACAATCATATTTTTGTAATGAAACTAAAAAAGTTACGTGAAATCTAGTTAATATTTACTAGGTGTCTTGCAGTTCGTAAATGAAAAATGTGAACACTTAGTGCGACCTCACATTCAGTGAGGAAATACAACGTTATGGCTATTAAGCTCTTAAGAGCAATTGACGTCGCTTAAACACTTAGTAAACTCCGCAGGTGTCTTATAAAGTCACTATAATTCGGCAGCGAACCAGTGAATTTTTCACGAGATGAGAGCGTGTTTTAAAGTGATGTAATTGACTTCACATTATTTTCTAACGTTTTTGACAGCTTTATTTATGTTTAACTAGCTGACCCGGCGAACTTTGTTCCGCCTTAATGGCAATAAATAAGCAGACTTTTTTTTTATTTCGAACGGGATAAAAAGTATCCTATGTCCTTCTCCTGGCTCTAAACTACCTCCCTGACAATTTTCAGCTAAATCGGTTCAGCCGTTCTTGAGTTATAAGCGAAGTAACTAACACGACTTTCTTTTATATATATAGATAAAATCAACACTACTGTTATGATTGATTGACATTTTTATAAAAGAAAGCGTACTTTATAATGAACAAGAAAAATACTATAACATTTTCATCATGCCTTTGCGTTACATCGCTAATGACTACATCAGACATAAAAAAGATGAAGACTAGTTATTAAGCTAGCCATTTAACAAAATACTTACTTCATAACTTAATTAATTCAAGTCATTTTATTTATTTTAGTGTTAGTATAGCCACAGAATAACAATAAGTATGATATAGCTAGCTAATAAATAATGCTTAACTAAAATTAACAAAATACATAGAATCTGAACAAGAATGTTTTTTTTTTTTATAAAAAGCACCTGAACCAAAACCTTAAAAGAATAAAAAAACAAAGCAAATCATTTTGCAATCACACAGTGCTGGAAAACAAAGTATTGTAATAATTGCTAATAACTGTGCAATATGACAATAACTTCCTTACTGCCGGTATCGAATTTGAACGTTTTAGCCTTTTTGTCTGTAGTCCTCATTCTAATCAACTTCATGTGACTGCGTGGTACACGAATTATGTCCTTTTCTGTATGATAGTAGCAATCGTTAACCAATATTTATAATGGTAGCTTTTGCACAGTAGCCAAAGAGAGAACGAATGAAAATACACGATACAATTTAATTATTTACTGCTCCCTCAAAATATTCAGTAGTAAAGAATAAAGTTCACTCTTCAGCTACTCTTTTCACAGTTGTATACAAGCGAAGCATGAATTAGAAAAGGACACTCACTTTTAATTTTTAACCAGGTGTAGATAGACGATTCCCCAGCTTCGTTGCTAGCTATGCATTGATATATGCCCATGTCCTCCATCCTTAGATTGCTGATAACAAGTGACCGATCTACTTCCACTCTATAACGACCTTCACCATCATAAACATCGGCATTGTCGTGATTAGCAGCTTCGGCTCCAACACTTGCTATTTTTCTTGCATCTTTATACCAAGTGATTCCTGGTAGAGGTATACCTTGAACGTTGCAGTCCAATACTATTGTGTTGCCGAATTCCCCAAAGGTTTCCGATTTTAAGTTAGATAAAAATACAGGTTTTTCATAAATTGTCACCATTGCAGACGCTGTGACTGTTGCGAAACCACCAGTACGCAATCGCGCTTGGCATGTATACTGTCCCGTGTGTGTCAAATTAGCAGATATCAGACTGAGTGTTCTATTCCATTGGTCGTTCAAATCAAATGTGATTCCCGCTAAATCTATCATGATTCCGTCTTTGAACCATAATGTCTCTAATTCATGAAGGGGTCGAGCGTTAGCTACACAATACAAATTTGTGTATTCTTGACCTTTGATGATTTTCTTGTCTTTGGGTTTAATTATAATTTCTGGTGGCACTTCTTTGTTGTCGTCCCCAAAGACATCCAAGTTAATATAAGGACTGTTTTCTTCTTTACCTAATTGAGTATTTATTGCTCTTACTCTGAAAAGAAAATAATATGTAATTAGTTAGGAAGTCAATAATCAAATCCAGTTACGCGCATTACACTAATAACTATAACGAAAAAAGAAACTTTCTGTATTTAAAAAAATACAAACCGATATGATTTCACATCATCATGCGAGGCTGACAGGATAACAAGTTGATGTTCATCAGTGACTGCATATTTTTGGTCATATCTCAAGGCGCCGTTTTCATCTTGCCAAATAACCGAGGGTGGTGGTTCTGATTCTATGTGTGGAAATTCCAGCACAGCAGCCCGTCCTGATTCTGCAGTGATAGTTTCTTCCGAGACTTTATCAAATGTCCCCATATCTATAAATGTAACAAACATTGAATCTCGAAGTTTTTACCATGCCGCGAAAATTATTTTGGTTAAGAATAGACGACAAAACGCTTTTGCAACATTTAGTATAATTAGTTTTTTTGGTCAAGGCCCATTTGAACAGTTTTTATAACAATAAAAAGTCTAAAAAGTAAAAAGTTTTTCCAAGGCACTTTATACCAAAACAAACCACCTTGGTGTATTGTGCCTAATGAAAGCAAGACGTTCAAAGGAGCACTTTACTTACAGGCGACGACAATGTTATTCTTTTCGCTGAAAATTGCCCCGACGTCATTTTTCGCGATACACTGGTAAGAACCGGCGTCTTGTTGCTGGGTATTGTGGATTTTATAAAATAGTTCTGAAGAATAATCCCCGAGCGGAACACTGTTCTTTAACCACCTATACATCGGTTGTGGAATGCCTGTGAAGGGAACACGACCCGTTATAATAAACAAGTTAACATCACAATTAGGTACTTACTTTATGGGTTTAATGCAAAGTTATTCTTACCTAACGCTGAACATTGCAAAATTTTTGTCGTGCCAACTCTTACTACGCTGTTTGAAGAAGATGGCTGCATACTAAAACGCGGCGGCTGCATTTGTCCTGTAAAGGAAAAATCCGATTTACGTCCATCCCGCAATGCCTTTGTTTCCACACAACAATGCACAGGCAAAGAGCTAGAAAGAACACCGTCTAACATTAGGTGTATGGGAAAAAGTTTGTCCGTCTTTTATATTTTAAATGGTGTATAAGCAAACATGTGAATGCATTTAAGTGTAGGGTCATTCCATCGTTTCGGGTGTTACGTTCGTACACACATATTCAACAATTTCATGTATTTTGAAATTGTATTTTAATAATGTTAGTGCCTCAATCTATCCGTTTTTAGTTGTTTTATTTAAATAATAAAGTTTGTACAGCTTAGAATGTAGGATAACGAAAACATGAGTCGAATAGTGTGCGTTTCGGGCGTTACGAGATTTTGCCTCTATGTTCTGCTGACTGTTGCTGCATTTACTCGAGATTTAGCGAATATTCTTAAGGAATCATACCTAAAACTTACAGGACTTCTAAAGTATGAAATTTACAAACCATGTAACATACAATCACTGTTAAATAAAACGTTTTACTATTTTTTTTATAAATTTTTTCTTTGTTTCGGGTGTTACAGTGGTTTTGTTTCGGGTGTTACGAGTACGAAAATTCAACGCGTTTTATCGATAAAATCGGTGTTTTATTAGTCTTTAGGTACTACAAAATAAAAAGTACAACAAATAAACACAATTAGAGCGAATTCTGGTTTGAAATTACGAAGCAGCTTTTTTTTTTTAATATACAAAGTTCAAGTTTAATTTTTCCTCAGAATATAGCTTTTTCTATTGTTTTTGGCTTGAAATAGCATTACTTTAATTTCTAATTACGATATTTATTGGAAATGTCAAACATCGACACTTTCTAGCAATACCTTAATTTTAGTGTTAAGTCGACATTTCAAAAAAGTCTTAAATTGAGAAATATGACTCCTTTTCCGATTCCAGCGCTTGTGGGAGGTCAAAGGACCCTCACAGTAATACTTTTTCACTTCTTCAAGCAATACACACAATATCGACACATAAATAAAAATTAGAGATGGGCCGACTAGTCGCCGACTAGTCGGGAAAGCCGACTATTCGGCATCTTTTGTAGTCGGCCGACTAGTGACGACTATTCGGCAAAATATGCCGATTATAATCGGCGCATTTCAAAATTAAATATGTACCTATGTGAATGAAATAAACTCATAATCACCAAGATTATTATGAGGTAGACCAAGGGCGTTTATCTAAACCAATTTTTACTGCAAAAAATCAGTAAAAAGTGATTTCACCTGGTTTAAAATTTTGGCAGTCTAAATTCATACAAAGTTAAGATTATTTAAAATTACCAGGAAATCATCAAAAATATGTAAAGTTTATGTCATTAAAATAAAATATATTATGTGGGGCTCCTCTCATTGGGAGAGATCGCCTTAGTGTGAAGAACTATGGGAATCCGGACAAAGCCATCAACTATCACAGTCCGTCCAGGCAATTGCCCACCTGTATGGCGGGCCCTGCCTATCCGACGGTGGTGGTAGTCCGTGCTATGCAGACGGGGGTACCCCCACGCCCCCAGCTCGCAGACCATCACCGTGGAGGGTGGAGAGGAATCAGTGGGCCTAGGATGCGTGCCGCGAAAAGCGTAATTTTGTCCATACATTTTGACGTTGATAAGTAAGAATAATATCACGGCACGCATCCTAGCCCAGCAGGAGGCGATCTATTGTCACCACCTCTGACCCCTCCGCCGTCGAAAATTATGACATTTACCTTAGGTACTGTTAGGTGATTGTAATGTTGCTTTTTATTTTTTCTCATATTAAAGTAATCTCATTTCTCAAGAAGTTATATTTATCTCTTTAGAAATCTAGATATTCATATTTATTTGAGAAAATCTAAATATTATTCTTCGGACAAGTAGGTATTAGAATGATCGGCATTGCCGATTAGTCGGCCGACTAATCGGCAATTTGAAAACCGATTAGTCGGCTAGTCGGTTAGTCGGCAAAGACCATAGTCGGCCCATCACTAATAAAAATGTAATACCCGAAACGTTTCGGGTGTTACAGTTTTTAATCATGAAAGAAACATACTAAATTAGTATCATGCTCAGATATTAGTTAGTATTTGAAATCATTACTACCATGACCTTACTTTTACCAAATATTGTTACCCTAATCCATGTGTAAGGTACAATAATAAAACTAATACCTGTTTTTCTGTTTCGGGTGTTACATCGCCGAAGTAAAAAGAAAACACACTTAAAACTTGATGATTATCAATTTTTTTGGGACTATGACGTTATCTACCAATACTATGATAAATACCCTCGAATCATATAGTGGCAAAACGTTTCACAGATTGATAGTTTTTTTTTAATCGTATTACTAATAATTAGAGAGAAAATGATCATCCAGACAGTTGACTTAAGTATAGATTTTGAAGACTAATAACTTAAAAATTACTTGTTTCTTTCAGATTTTTTTTGTTGCACATTATAATTTGGAATGTATACTTTCAAAATTCATCAGATTTAATGCGAAAATAACATATTTAGTTTTTCACCCTCGGTAACATTTGTCATGGAATGACCCTGTAGTTACATAGAGTACGAGTAATATCCTTATAATTAAGTTTACTTATTTTAAGACCTACAGACAAAAAAATATGCATAATTTGACTGTATATGTATATTATGACATTAATGTAGTTAGATAGGAGAAAGAAATAGCTCCCCACATTCCTGCATCAAACTTGCAACTCGAATTTATATGGCGTGTGAGTCACTATCAGGGAAGACATAAAAAACATAATCAATTAGGAGACACGTCATTCGCTTCGGACCACAGTCAGCAACATTAAGAAGGCGTGTGGCTCGTTGACCGAATTTATCTCCGTATCGGAATGGCGGTTGCGGTCGTTCGGAACTCGTTGCGATACAAATCATTAATCAGTTGCGCAAACGTTTTGTTAACATTTTACACGGCGAGATGGAGAGACTGAATAATTGCATTGTAACAGAAATGGGTGTGTTATCAAAGTTAACATTGACTGGTCGAATAAAGGACGTGCGAGAAGTTACAGAATATATTCCTACTGTAAACTACGGAAATTAAATACCTATGTAACTATAACAGCTACTAGCCATTTGCTAACTTTTTAAAGGTTGTGAACAAAGTTGTTATAGTTTAACTTTAACTAACATGTACACTAAACACTGAACATCCCTTGACGATCATTTGCTTTCAACGTAACGTCTGCCGAGTAGAGTCGTTACAGTTTATTTGCGTTGTTAAGGCGAGTACTGTAACAAAAGTGTCAAAGGCTTAATGTTGTTTGATAGATGTAACTAAGTTTAAAGCCTATTCGTGATTTTATTATAAAATAGGTAAAATTTATTCCGGAGTGATTCAGAACAGATTAAGAAACCCAAGTATGAAAGAGAAAATTGATTATTATTGCCAATTGATTGGGGTTTCATAAGGCTTCGGCGCTAAGGCTTCCCATACCTATTGCTTTAATTCATAAAGTGTACTAACTTATTTCTTTATTTACAATTTAGTCTTTTGAGACCTGACCTGAGTACCTCTTTGTAAGTTGATATAAAGAGTACCCTACTCCAGTGAATCTTCAAGTTACTAACTTCTGAAAATACAGGGTGTTAGGTAAATGGGTATATGAGCCGACACTAGCCCATGTTAACATGGGCATATAAATGGTATGGTGAAGTCAGAAATTTGATATCATCATTTTAATTTTTTAATTTTCATACAAAATAAATTTTATTAAATCCGATTTGTATGAAAAATAAAATAATTAAAATGAAGATATCAATTTTCTAACTTCACCATACCATTTATATGATCATGTTAACATGGGCTAGTGTCAGCTCATATACCCATTTACCTAACACCCTGTATAAAGCTTGTTTTGCCTTATTTCAGTCACGGAAAGATTTTTAAGAAGCTCTCAACTAATTGTGACGTATAGCGGCTCAGCAAAGAAGACTTAGCGGATTCAACCCTTTTTCTTGGACGAAGCCCGTTGGGACTATTAAGCTTTGGCAGTCATAAATCCAAAGAGAAGCTTCGGCATTACCAGTTATCCTTAGGATAAAAATGTTAAGAATATACAGTGACAATGGTCACAGTCATTGTCGCTATTTCCTTTGATATTAGACTATCTTTAAACATATTTTGTCTGTAATCGGCGAAAAATACCACCAAGCTCACTCGTTCGTAACACTAAAATGAAAATTCCATGTGTTTTCTGTACGGTGTATTAATTTTATGAAATCCTTACTATTGTAACATATTAGTAAGGGCATACCAATTAGTATTCCCAAATACATATTTGAAGAAATTGTAAGCCTAAGTCCTCTTTATTACAACGTTTTTATGATTATCAAGAAACACATAATTTTAAAGAAATGGAAGTCTTGGAATAGGTTGTTCTCATTTCCCATCCCATTAGCGCCGTGAATAGCCGACCTGTGAATGGGATGGGATGTCCCGTATTCAGAAGGACATCGGCAGCATCACAGCGTGCAATTACTCCCTCGTCCGCGGTAAACAGAACTTTGCAAACAATCTCCCTAATTTATGTTGATGTAGTTCATTTATAATGATTACTGCGATCGGTTATTTAATTAGTCATTCACAACTCAAGGTTGACAAAAAACATGGAACGTCCAACCAAATATATTTAAGGCTTAATAATTTATTAAATGCAGTGACCTATTCTGGGGAGTGAGTAAAAAGAACTTAATACAGGACTAACTAAAAAAAATACGCGATTTTTATGTTTAATTAATAGAGTGTGGTGGTACGAGCAAAAAATAAGTACATAATTTCAGTCACCCAATGAAGTTAATCGCTAGCCGAGCATGTTTCAAAGAGACGTATTTGTTTATTTTTCCACGTCTGCCTGACGCAACTGAAGTGAATCTGGGCCAGTCAGTCCGGTTACCGAGTGTAATGCACATCAGATTCATCAATCAGCACATGTGTTTACACTACAAGTTTC